AAATCCAAAAAGTGTTAAAAAATAATCAACAAAATTTAACTAAACTACGTCAAAAATTATATAATTTCAAACTTAAGTTAAAACAGACAACTAACCGTTTTTTTTAGGTTTACGTTAACATACAAATTAACCTAACAATTAATATAACCACCTAATCAAATTTAAAAAAATTAATCTAATAGTCATAAAAATAAAATAAGAATTAAGAAATTTACACTACTACATACAACTTAACATAACAAAAAATTAACAAAACAATGTAATTAAAAACATTCAAATAAATAATCAACAAACAAATAACAAAATTTACTTACACATTTATAACATTTATTAAATTAAAAAAAAACACATAACGAGTTAGAGAGAGAAAGTTTTACCGGAGATATTAAGGAGAGAGAGCACGGATCCGGCTCAATTTTGAGGGAGAAAGACACCCCTCACTTTGTTGAACGGTTTTGGAAGAGATTTGGAGGCTTGGGTGGTCGTTTTTTATGGGCGACAGCGGGAAGTGTGGTGGAAGTGAGGAAACCGTAACGACGAAGAAGAAGAAAAGGGGGTATATATAAGGGAAGTAACGACGGATTAGGCATCCGTCATTACTTGGGGAATTTTCCCCTAAAATCTATTTTGAGGGGAAAATTCCCCTCAATTTCTCAAAAATATGTCCGTTGCTAATTGTCGGTGACGTAGTGATGGACGTCGTTACTTTGGGGGGAATTTTCCCCTCCAGGTGTGTTTTAGGGGAATTTCCCCTCAATTTCATACGGAGGTAGCAACGGACTCAAGTCCGTTGCCACCTCACCAAAATGTAGTGACGGAACTAATTTTTGTCGCTATATTTTGGCCTTTTAAGGGAAAAATTCCCCCTAAAATCCACCCAAAGTAGCGACGAAAATCAATTTCGTCGCTACATAGGTAATATTAGCGACGAATTACAAAATTTATCACTAACTTCTTTGTGATTTGGGGCATTCCACCCCGAAATTTGCAAAATTAGCAACGGAACAATTTTCGTCGCTAATTTTGTCATTTAGCGACCGCCTAATCCATCACCGATTGTGTTGCCTTTTTTCCATGTATTTTTTTACGATGAAATTTTTGTCGTCGCTAATGATCCCTCGTTATTCCGTCGCTAATCCGTCGCAAAAACAAATCTTTTAAAGGTCGTCGTAAATTCGTCGTTAAGCTATCTCTAATTAGAGACGATTGAAACTTATCGTTAAATTCCATCGCTAATTGCTAATTTTCTTGTAGTGATGATTCCTAAAACCATAAGCATCCATGACTAAATCTAAATTACCATAATGACAAGACAAGTGATGAGACCCCTAATCATCAAAGATGCAAGTGGAATCTCGATCGTCATCCCAAAGCTCGAATGAAAATCAAGTCTTTACTATAATAATCGTTAAGACTTGAGGTGGATAATTGATATATCAAGGAAAATTATGGATCCTATCGAACATGATGTATGAACATTAAGACCACACCCAACACCTCTTTCAAAAGCAAGTTCAAAAGTCTTAATTAGACTATCCCGAAGGCACCAACGCCACCCCCAATAATCTTCAAAAAATAGTTAAAACAATCCCTAAGCATTTGGCCAATAATTGGGAATTCACACCTAATCCTATCAATTAAAAAAGATCAAAAATACATTTATTAAATGAAGACATGCTCCTAAGATTACGTTAATCCAAACGACAACAACTATGACATCACTATGTCCTCTCACTATTAACCCATCAGTAATATAGACATTTATTCCCCGATCAAAATTTGAACATGATTGCAACATGATTAAAAAAAAAAAAATCATCATATGCCTCTTTCTGCACAACTTGATGGCACATTTGGCTATATAAATAGTCAAAAGGCTGAAGGTTTCAGGTTTTTGAATCTCTAAACTAATAGTAATTATTCATCGTCTTTTATATACTTACATTACTGAATTACTGTAACTATTCATCATCTTTTATATACTTGCATTACTGAATTGCTGTCTCTTTAGGTCAACATCTCTCTCTAAATGCTTATTTAATCATAGAACAATCCTCTAATTCACAAAGAAAGATTTGTTTGTAGGTATTTCAATTTGTTTTGTCTTCATCCACCATTTAACTCTATGACAACATCTATTAAGAAAAAATTATGTCATCATGCATTATCAATTGAGGTTGATTAGAACTTGCTAGATTGATACCAGCTATTCGCTGCAGGAAATTTCTGTTTTTTTTTTCAAGATAAGCCTTCGTATTTTAAACTGTCAAGTGCGAGGGAAAAAAAAGGAGGCGATTCAACAATATTTTAGGTGTACAAATACAAAAGCTTTACCAAGAACTTCTTAAATCAAATTCGTGCCAAGTTGAAAGCCATCTCAAAGCATTTTAAAATGAAATTCCTTAAATATTAGCTTACATAGTGCATTGTCTTGCTAACATACTTGGTGGGTTTTTCTCCTCCACATCTCAGAGACTGGAAAGTCTTTGGAGTAATTTCTTAAATAGGAAGATAACTAATATTAAATTTAATATTTTTCCCTTCATATTTCCTACACTATCTCCTTAGAGTTGGCCCTGACATAAGCTGATGAAATATCCCGAAGAGGAAAACAGAGTCAAAAACTTCAAACAACAACATCCCAGGATGCCGCGCATGAAATCTCTTCCATTTTTATTGCTCCAAAAATTAACTGGAAAAATCAGATAAAAATGATGTCAGAATACAAAATAAAATAAAAAAAGCAGCGAAGTGAGTCAACCAAACAATGATATACCATCCTCTTATAAAAAAAAAGATTTGAGTTGCACACATACAATTTGGTAAAAAAGTGACCTAATGCTGTAACACAGAGGACAAAAGCTCTTACAGTAAGAATGCGATTAAAGAAGAAATGAATGCAGAGTATCCAAAGGTCAGAAACATTGTTTCTTTACATGGAAAGTGAAGAAGAACAATCAGCCATGGAATCTCAGCTCTATTAACCTTAGAGAATTCTTGTTCAAGCTAATTGTATTGCAATGTATATCTACTTGCGCAAGCAACATACAACCTCATTTTGTTTCTGCTAAAATTGAGGGCTATAAAATTATAAGATAACAATAAAATGTATCTCCATATCAGAGATTTTATACCATACACTGAAACGGAAGAAAGGACAATAATGAGACACTTGGTCTTTCTTTTTCATTTACCTTTGCATCTTATGCCCTCTTTATGGCTCTGGCTCTGGCTGGCTTTTCTCTCAATCCCATCCTTAAATATTCCTTACTAATCCAGCTCACGAGGAAAAAAAAGTGCAATTGTTTATCATTTCTTCTCAGGAATCTTCATAAAAAGTTCCTCGATAATTTTATCCACTTTGCTTTTGCCTAGGCTCTTTTGGTTCCACTTTGGAAAACTTGCAACCATTATCATTCTTTTTGTCCTTTTTGGGTCCATCATTTCAGTCATAGCCTACTTTCTTTAATTACTTTTTCTTTTCTGCCGAGAAGGCTAAAAATTCCAACACATTGCAGTGTCGATCCCATTTAACACACCTTAATACTTGCAGAATTGCAAAATACCATATTGAAAGATACAGAGAATCATAAATCCATGCCAAAACTTTCACATCTACATTCTTAATGTTCAATCAGACATTAGCTCCAGCACCATTATGCTATAATATAAAACAAAATGCAGCATACTTATTTGACACAGTTCCTATTGCTAATAAGTGATCCGAGGATAGTTCATTTTATTATGCTGGAGGAATAAACACATAAAAGAAAATAAATGTTAAGTCATACATTAGTTATAATTAAAAAAGTGAAACGCACTTATCACGATGCTTAATCAAAGTGGTCACCAACCATATGGAGCAGAGTTTCCTTAAGATATGTTGGGGAGACTGTACTGGAACATGAAAGGAAAGTTAGTTTCTTGGAAACAAAATAGATGTAAAGGACAATGCTAGAGTTTTAATGAAACAAGTTCACATCTATGCTTGTAAATGTCACATAGTACCACCAATGTGTATCATGGAAATAAACAAACTCACATCTAAAATAATTCATGCTAGAGTTAAAATTTAAATAAGGTTCTTCACACCTAGACTTTATCCAAATTTCAACTATTTCAACTCAAATGAATCCATTCATTTCATGAATCATAACTTTTAAAATATAGATTTTCCCACTTGGTATTCACTTATATGGTCTGAACATGGATCACAATTTGATTAGTTCCAAGGTATCGGGTTGGGTTGTCACACTGGCAGCAACCGTACAGCATCAAGAAATTATAATCATCAATTCAGCATTTGGATAACACCCAAAAGGCAAAAAAGCAACTGTTTACATAGCTTGTTCATGGAATTATTTGCCAAAAAAAAAAAAAAATGAAAACCCTGAAACATAAAACCATGTTCTGATCTCATGCAACATACAAAGTGAAGCCATAAACTTGACACAATATTTTTCTTATTCAGAAGCAAAACAAAAAATTAAAGAAAATTATTAAAGGCAATTTGAATTCTAGCTCTTTTTGAACAAATAGGAAAGGATTTATTAAAAAATGTAGAGCTAATACCAATGTATATCGTAGAACTATAATTTGTTGAAGTTCAACACACAATTACCACTATAGGCTCATCAATTTGAGGCAACAGGAGAATGACAAATAAAAAAAAACATGAGAAAATTTAGATTAGGAAAAAAAAATTTCTTACCAAGATCAAACCATACTTTCAAGGTTCACTGACAGTAGAAATGGACCAAAATCAAGTTTTAAAGTATCATGTTCTTCTGTAAATCAGAGAAAAAAAATTAAATTAGCCCTTGTAATGAATTCAATAAACCTTAAATATTTGATAGATTTATAATCAAATAATAGAATTTTTAAACTCCAAAAATATATCAAACTAACCTAAAATCAAAAATTTAATATGTAATCAGTGGAATCAGCATGAATAAACTGAGAAATGGAAGTAAAATTAATTACCATGTTAATTCAATTAACTAAAACAAATAGTGCTGGAACATTGCAGATAATGCTGCTCCATCGGGTATAAGCGCAGCATCACATGGACTCTCCACAACCTAAAACAATCAATTTAATTAATCAACATCAACCAATGAGTTTTTGATACTATAATTCATACTACAATTAATTAACAATAATAAGAATTTAGGAAAAAAAATAGAGAGAAAAAATTGGCATTAAATTTACCTTAGGCACAGCTCCAGGTCGAACCTTTTCAGAAAATTGCAGAGATTGATTCCACCGTTTGTTGAACCAACATAATTATTTATCACTATCGTACTATGGGAAGTTGATTGATCTCTTTAGTGCAACTTGACCACAGCAAGTCCAACTTGCAATCCAAACAACAAACTAATGACGAAACAGAGCACTAAGCACGAACTCATTATTCTTGCGTGAAATGGGGATTAATTTCGTAACATGACAGTTTTCTAGTCAACATGATAATTACATTACTGTTAGAGGTGGATAGTCTTGACTTGTAAATGCAGATTAAACAAAAAGCAAAGGGCAATCAAAGTCTATAATGGAGGACTTCAATCGTTTGGTAAAAGAAAGTTGAACTATGAGCCAACTAATTATTTCTTAATGTCCTTTTGAACTCAATAAATTGAGACGAGTAATGTTAAAGCAGAGAGCTAATTTTAAGGTTACTAATGCCCTTATAATCACTATGCAATCGGATGGACGATGCAACTCATTAAAACTCAACTGCCATCATCAGTAGCTAAAATAATGTGTTTTCCACTAAAATTGCATGAAATTTGTTATAATTACTCTTATTATAATTACTATTCACTCACATAAAAATTTGTTGGGCAAATCTTTAGCTGCTACCACTCCTACCATCTTTCCCAACAACCCCGCAGCTTCGTACCTTCTTGACGCTAACAAAAAGAAATCTCAAAAAAATTAAAACTTCTCAAAGACAATTCCTCCAAAAAAGAATTATTCTGTTGAAATAGAAAATAAAAATTACCGGCTTCTTTAGCTTTCCTGGACTCCAAATCAAGGCCTTTGAATGTATTATCATGTTGTTGCAGTACATCCTCCACTGCCGTCGCCACCGAAAACGACAATGCTCCTCCTTCACCGGCCATCTCGTTGGAAATTACCGTTACGTAGTACATGATTTACCTCCTCCTCACAATTTTTTGAACAGGACACTTGCCTCCTCCTTGTGTTCATCTGAGGAAGATTTGTCTTTTGAACATATTCTTCGTTTGTTGATGTTGTGTGGTGATGGGTGCTGACGCCGGCGTTGGGTGTTGTGGCGACGGCAGCAGTTGCAGCAATAGTTTTGGGTGAAAGGAGAATGGTAGAAGATGGAGGCTATAAAATAAACGTATATAGCATGATTTAATGGCTGAGATTGTTGGATGGATGGTTTAGATCATGTTAGATCGGACGGCTCTAAAACAATTCATTTAGATCGAACGGTTTAAAAAAAACATACCAAAGAATAGATTTTGCACAGTAAAGAGCGAAGAAAAAACGGAAAAGAAAACACTGTTGCAATAACAGTGAAAGTTTCTTTTTTTTTTTTTTTTTGGTAACACTGTGTAGCAAGAATCAAAAAAAGAAAAAATGTGGACCCCTCGTTTAAAAAAATCATTTTGTTAGTAATTTTCATCTGCCCTGTCATGGGCCATTCGATGTTACCGACATTAGGTTGCATTGTTAGCTTTATGTCAAAAAAAGATTCTTCATTAAAATAGAGTAGATGACACTCTTCTATGCTTCATCTGCCGGCCACTGAAATTCTACAACCCATAGCTGATTATCAGTGTTTGATCTCCAATCAACCCCACTGTTCCAGTACTAGAACACCAGCACAAAACTTGATCAAACATGGACCAAACCAACTCGCCCATCGATCCAAGGAGTGGCTTCAATCCCATAACAAAGACTTTCCATAGCCTGAGACCCCCTATTCATCTCCCTCCAGAGGACACTCCTTTCTCTGTAGCCGAATATGCTCTCTCACTCCAAGCTAACTCTCCATGGCCTGATGCAGTTGCCCTCATCGACTCATCCACAGGCCAACAGATCTCCTACTCTAACTTCACTAAACAAGTGAAATCCCTAGCCTTCTATCTCCAAAATGTTACCAAACTCTCCAAAAATGACACTGCTTTTATTCTCTGTCCAAACTCCATTAAAGTCCCCATTCTTTACTTCTCTCTCCTTTCACTTGGTGTAATAATCTCTCCAGCAAATCCCATAAGCACTGAATCAGAGATTTTACACCAAATAAGTCTGTCGAAACCAGTAATTGCCTTTGCCGTAGCAGCTACATGTCACAAGCTCCCAAAGCTGAAGCACAAAACCATTCTCATCGGCTCACCTGAGTTTGACTCAATACTGACAATGTTTCCTGCACCAACAACAACAACACAACAAGAACTAGAAAAGGTTAAAGTGAGTCAATCAGATTTGGCTGCGATCCTATACTCTTCAGGCACGACAGGGAGAGTTAAAGGAGTGATGTTGACTCACAGGAACTTAATGGCAGTAGTAGCAGCATATGCTAAGCATGAAAGACAATCACCTCCTGTTATGCTTTATACGATGCCATTTTTTCACGTTTTTGGGTTCTTTTATAGTTTGAAATCGGTAGCACTGAGTGAAAGTATTTTGGTGATGGAGAGGTTTGATTTGAAGAAGATGTTGAGGGGGATGGAGGAGTTTAAAGTTACCCACGTGGCAGTGGCGCCGCCGGTGGTTGTAGCAATGGCAAAGAGTGATTTGATAGATGGGTATGATTTGAAGTCGCTGGAGATGGTGGGCTGTGGCGGAGCTCCGCTAGGAAAGGATGTTATCAAGGCGTTTAAGGACAGGTTTCCTTCGGTAGACCTAATGCAGGTTAGTAGAAAATAGTCGCTTTCCATTATGATCCACTAAAATATATTTATTTGAGTTTGATGATCTATATTCTATTGTTTAAACTAAAATATTTTATAAATTTTAATTAAAATTATAAAATTTAATTTAATTTCATATTTTTAATCAAAATTTGTATTTACTTTATTTTTTTATATTTTTTTCATAAAATTTGTCGTTTTTTTGAGAAATTCTCATCAAATTAAATTTTATTTTTTTATATAATTTTATTTGTTAATAAATATAATTTTTTTAAGAAAGACTTTTTTTTATGTCCAATTTTTATTTTATTATTTTTTTTCGTTTTGGTGTCTCACAGTTGATTTTTAATAATTTGCTATCTAAGTTTTAATTTTTTTTTTTTTGTTTATTTGAATGTCTAACTTCACCTTAAGTTTAATTTTGCTAACGTGTCAAATGAAAGTTGTCACGTGATAGTCAAAACATGTCACGTGACAGTTAATTTTAGACATATCAGCACTTTATGTTCTAAAATAGCTATTGACGCTCAAGAAAAAAACATTCAAAAGTTAAGCATTGAAACAGAAAAAAGAAGGTTGGGCTAAAAAAAATAGTTTTTGCAAAAAATTTATTATCTCAAGATTGCAAAATCAATCTAATAATTTCTAATAAATATTTTTCATATCGTGCTTATGGTATTTTTTTACTTATCAAATGTAATTTTTTAATACTTTATATTAGTTAAAATTTATTTTTTAAAAATTCTAAACTCTTTTAGCTATTTAGACAAATTTAATATTATATCATTTAGCCAAATATATATAAAGTTCAATTAAGAGTAAATCTAAAAAAAAACACATATAAGATCCAATTATGATTACCATTTGCGAAATAAATGGTTAGTCAATGGGGAATTTACGAAAAAAACAAAAATTACTTCTTCTCTCTAGGGAGAAGATCGACCAACATATAATGGGCAACATAAAATTTTCACAACTAATAACTTGCTAAACTTTTTATAGTTGGAATATAATCAAGATGAATAAGTTTAATTATTAAACTGTTTGATTCGAATGTTTAAAATGCAATACTTTAGGTAGTGGTAACGATAATAATAGAAAAAATAACTAAAGTATAAATTAAGTTAAAAAGTGAATGTATTGTTAAAATTGCTTGTGCTATTAACATAATAACTAGAAATTATGCATGCATATAATTATTGATGTTCTTAAAATTTTAAATTATATGACTTTTAATATTAAAAAATATATATTTTAAGAGACTATATATATATATATATAATGTAAGCACAAGATATACATGAAATCTATTTATAATAGGAAAATGGTATATCATAGTACAACAAGGGGATACACATTTGATGTGAGAAAATTACATTTTCGATGTCCAATTATTGGTTTTATTTTTTTTATTTAGGTGCCCAACCTTTTAATTTTTCTTTTCCCCTATTTGAGTGTCTATAGCCATCTTAAATCATGAAGTGTTAACATGTTTGAAGTTGACTACCACATGATACTTTTTCACCGTAACGTGATAGCTCTCGTTAAACACGTCGGTAAAATTAAACTTCGAGTGAAGTCGGGCATCAAAATAAACAAAAAATCAAAGTTTGGGTAGCAAATTATTAGAAATTAATAGTTGGACATCAAAAAAAAAAAAAATCAAAGGTTGGGCACCAAAAAAGCTTCTTCTTTTTTTTTTCATGTATAGATTTCAAACAAGTTTTTTTTAGATAAATAATCAATTAAAAAATAAAATTGACGTGTTATATATATATATATATATATATATATATATATATATATATATAAAAAGCTTCTGTTTTTTTCTATGTACAGATTTCAAATAAGTTTTTTTAAGATAAATAATCAATTAAAAAATAAAATTTACGTGTTATATATATATAACGGTTTATCTATTGGTGTTTTGAATAGAACTATATATGTGTGTGACGCGCGCGCACTCTTAAAAGATAATATTCTCATCAGCATTAAATAAGAAGAGAAAATTAATTTTTTATTTGTTAGTTTTTAAATAAGTTTTTATATGAATTTCAGCTTTCTTTTTATGTACAACCTTATGAAAAAAAATATTTAGGTTCTTTTAAAAATTTTGGATTCAATTTTCTATTTAGATTGTTATAGATTTTTATTTAAAAATCGATGCATACAAAATAATAAATTATGTTTTAATTGAAAATTTATGAAAAATATAAAAAATAATCAATTAAATATAAAATTTTAATTAAAAAATTGATTTGATTTTTTTATATCAATATATTTTAATAGATATCCAACGTGATATTGGATATAAAATTAAAATAATTTGATTCTGTCCCATTCGTATGGTAGGGCAGGCACCAAACCAATGACTTCACCGTTTCTTCTTTTGACTCACGAATGCACTCGTCCGACAGTTGTTGTTTTGTTTTTTTTTAGTTGGTGCAGAGGATCATATTGATTTTTGTTGTTTGCTTTGTTAGGTATTAAATAATAGACATTCCTTTATCCATGATTACGTTATTATATGTCAAATTTCTTTTTTTGACGTTAATTTTAACTTTTAAGAATATAAATGAACACAAGTAAGTTTCTATTGGTTCCAATTTCTTTTTTTTCTTTTTTTTTTTATGATTGATTAAAATATAATAAAAAATTCTAAAAAACCAAAAAAATATTAAACTTTTTTTTTTTTTTTTACCATCGGAATTTTTGTCTATTTTTTTAATTCACACTAGCTAAATAAAAAAATTATTTATGTTAATAAATAACAAAACAAGAAATTGATTATTATTATTATTATTTAATGTTTTTACTTGTTTTTGTTATCACAAAATGATTAGCATATACTTTATTGATTATTTAGGTGTTGTAAATTAATTTTTTTTTTAATAATATTCAATGAAGAATAAAATTATAAATTTATTGATGAAACATATTTGAAAGTAGTAAATGTTTTTTTTTTCATAAGCATGCTTTTCCTAATTAATTTTTCATGAAAATTTTGATTTCAAGCTTTTATAATTTTTATATAAAATTTATTTCTTTTCTAAGATTTTACTATGGCTTTTGAAATTAAAATTAAAAAATAAGATAGAAAAATAAAAAATATAAAAAAGGGCATGAATAAGTAAAAAAAAATAGCTAGAAAAAAATCCACTATAATAAATAAAAGATTAAGAAAATTGTTTTCATCTTTTTAATTTTTTTATGAGTCTTTTACAATAAAGTATATACAAAAACAAATCCAATATAAATAAAGAAAATTCCAGTTGTAAAAAAATAAAAAAGCAAAACTTGTTTAATATATTTATTTGAATTTTGTATTATCTTTTCGATTGTTTAATCAATTTTTCTTCTTTTTTTTTTCCCTAAAATTGGAAACAATAGAAATAAGGCATGTACTCCTCGTTTTCTTTGAAAGTCAAATTAACAAAAAATTATCTTGACTTGGATCGAGAGACTTCTGCTATTTAATGTACCAAATTATAAAAATACAATTGTCCTAATTAAAATCATAAAAAATGTCTTTAGAGAAAATATAGATATCATAGAGACCTTTAGTGATATATTAAACGTTTATTTATTTATTTATTTGGGTACATTTCAAAAATTAATAATGCTCCAAATATAGGCATACCAGTCGATTTGTATTGATCCCATTTATGGCTAATTATCCGGTAAAAACAAATCGAGTATCAAACAAAATATTTGGTAAGTTTATCCATAAAATTTGATAGTTTAGAACCTAATCCTATCTTTATATATATAATTAATTCATGAATTTTTGCATACCGGAAACCAGATCTCAACCTCTTCAACCTTTCGATTTACACAGTTTGTAACGCTGGAATCCCAATACTAGTTTAAAGCAACGAGGCAATTAATGTGGCTAATGTATGGAATGGTTGGGATTAACACAAATCGAATGCTAGTTAAAAAGTACATTTTGAAATTAGGAATTACACCAAGTTGTGAACTTTTTCTCTAATGAGATCAGTATACCTTTTCAAAATGCTAACCTGCGTTGCATTATAACATAAAGGGTTATGGGCTAACCGAATCCACCGGAATAGTGTCCCGATTAAATGGTCCAGAAGAATGTCGCCGTTGGGGCTCCGTAGGAAAGCTTACACCCAGCTGCGAAGCAAAAATTGTTGATCCTGATACAAGTCACGCCTTGCCTCCAGGCAAGCAAGGAGAGCTTTGGATCAAGGGATCCACAGTAATGAAAGGTAAAACATGCCGTGGATGATTGCATTTAAAATATTATACCTGATCATCAAACTAAAATTTTGTTTACGTTTACACGATGTCTTAATTAAGCTTCTCTGAGACTAAGATTTGTTGATGTCGCTGCAGGTTATGCCGGTGATCCTGGAGCAACTTCTGCTACCATGGAACCAGGTGGTTGGTTGAGGACTGGTGACCTTTGTTATATTGACGAGGAAGGTTTTTTATTCGTGGTTGACAGGTTGAAAGAACTAATCAAATACAAGGGATATCAGGTAAGATATATATATATATCTGTAATATTAATCTTAGAGTTTTTGGCTAGCTCCATTTCAAAGTCCATCAAGGAATAAGGATTAAGCATAAACTAAACGCTGCAAACAAATGGTATATATATATATGCAGGTTGCTCCTGCTGAACTAGAGCAATTGCTTCAGTCCCATCCAGATATAGCTGATGCTGCAGTGATACCGTAAGTTTTCACCCCTTTGCGCTTATAGAGTCCCTTTTACCTTGATCGATATTCATGGTTTAGAGTAAGCAATTGATTTAAACAGTTTTATTTTCGTGTTATCGTGCTTGGTTGTTAACAAAGTTCTGTGCTGGATTAGTTTGGTTTTCGGCTGATCAAAGGCAAACTCTTTGCCTTGACTTATGGATCGGGTGTGAACAGTGAGATTCTAGAGGAAGAATTCTACCTGTTTCATGCCTATAAAAAGCCTGCATTGACATGGAAGAGGGGCAGCGAGAAAAGGAGGATTTCTGGGTTGAGAGAGTGAGAATCAAAAGCAAAAAGATTTGATTGTCGATCTTTAGCAGCTCCATTTTTTGGGTTATTTCTGGGTTTGTGTTCTTGGTGTGTCCTTGGGGTTCTGGGTTTGTTTCCTAATCTGCCGGCCTCTTTTTTTCTTTTTTTGGTTTTTTTCGGGGGTTAATTTTCCATCCTCAAGTGTTTCTCAACCACCTTTATTAAATTTTGGGGGTTCAATTCGTCCATTTTTGAGTTTTCTCTTTTGAATTTCTGGGCAGTCGTTTGAATTTGTTCTTGTTTTTTTTTTCTGGGTTCACGTTCTTCATCTTGGGTCGATTGAGAGGGGTTTTTCAAGGCTATTTTTGAGGAAGGTTATCGTTTTCTGAGTGTAGTAAAAAGAGATCGAGGGTCAAGAGTCGAAAAAAATCGTGTGAAATCTTCGTTTTGGGTCGTTAGTTCTTTATTTTTCTGGGTTTTCACTGGTGGAATTTATTTCTGTTAGAATTCCATTATTAGTATTTTGTAACCTGCTTGTAAGAAATATAAATAGGCGCTGAAATTAAAAATAAAATAAAATGTACAGATACCCTGACGAGGAAGCTGGTCAGGTGCCCCTGGCTTTTGTGGTGAAACAGCCTCAGAGCAGCATCAATGAAAGAGGCATAATGGATTTTGTTGCAAATCAGGTGCTTTTCCAATGTGAAAATAGATCCCTTTCTGAGTTTTCTAATTCATGAACCTAATTGATGCTTTGCTGACATATTTTGCTCGAGAACAGGTTGCACCGTACAAGAAAATAAGGCGTGTGGCCTTTGTCACTTCCATACCCAAGAGTCCAGCCGGAAAAATACTGAGGAAGGATTTGAGGAACATTGTTTTTCGAGTACTGCCTTCATCGAAATTATAATTTACTTAATTGACAAATGATTGGTAGAATAAGGAGAACGATGTTTTTGAGTAAAATGCTTAAGCAAAGCTAATTAAGACCCTCCAAAAACTTAGTAGGCAAATGGGATATTCAGTTACTACATGGGTTTAAGTGTGAGGTATGTACATATAATTTACTCAAATCATCAACAGTCCTTTTAAATTCTCGGATCCCCTGTGATATATATACATGATTATAATCATGGTACTACATGGGTTTAAGCATTCTATTTGTATTCTCTGTATCATTCAAGTTAGCTTTTGTCAACTGATTCAGCACGTCGCAATGAAGAAGGTTTGGTGTGCACTACAAATACGTAAATTATTACAATTGATACCAAATCTCCATTCTATTTGCATATTTCAGATTATCTAGATTTGCTTTTTGTCACAAAATCTCTAAGCGAAAATGAAAAAAAAACTATTTCACTTGACAAAGTAATTTTCTCAATGCCTACCAATCTAAAAATAAAACAGAATTTGTGGATAAATCGATATCCAAACTCGATGTCAGTACCAGAGATTTTCAAACTGGGATTTAATGCAATGCACTCATTAAATTGTGGCTCTTGAACTTGATTTTCAAAGAACTAGAATCAAGAGCAACTCACGCCACCACTTCACATGAGAGTTGGAATGACTTTGAGGAGCATTTTACTCAAAGAATTGCACCTCGAGTTTACGAATTAAGGTAGACAATTGCCTTGTTAGAGCAAGAAAAGTCAGCTCTATCTATATATTATGGAAAATTAAAAAAAATATGTGGAGTGAGTTACAGAATTTTCGACCCATCTCTATTTGTAGATGCGAAGCTGTAAGAAACATGAAGGAGATACGTGAGGAGAAAAAGGTTTTTGATTTTTTGATGGGGTTGGATGAGGATTATTAGATTGTTCAATTTCAAATATTGAGTATTGAACCTTTGCCGGGGCTTGGAAATGCTTATATAGTAGTTGCTTAAGATGAAAAATTGAGAAATATTGTAGCCAACTGAATTCCCATCCTTGAGACGACAACTCTGCTAGCCAAATCAAAATTGGGCTGGGAGCGTGAGAGAGAACATCGTAATGGCTATCTTCATTGCAACCCTTGCAACAAGACAAATCACACTTATGACACTTGTTATGCTTTTCTCAGCTATCCAACTGGCTAGAGAAAGCCTCGGCTTTGAGGAAACTCACGCACTGCACTTTTGACCTCTATAATTTCCATGGATTTGTGCAACGAGGGAGACAACAATATTCTAAGACATTCTTTTTACCAATCCAACCCAGCACCATCAGCTGGCCCATGCACATATTACCGCCACTCCATCCCAGCAGCAGCAACTAGCCCATACCACATTCTTGCTGACTCAACCCAACAACAAAGCTGATCCATGCGCATTCTTTAGCCAATTCAACCAGGCCACACCCTCTGGCCCATGCTCAACCTTTTGTAGCCCAGTCCATTCCTCACAATAGGCCCACTCTTCATTCTTTGTTCATACAAGTCGGCAATCGATAGCAGCCCAACTTCAGTAGGCCCATTAGTCAACATGGCCTCCCGAAATGTTTCTAGCAAATCATGGATAATTGATACTAGGTTAACAGATCATGTAACTTGTAACACTTATTTTATGACTGATGTTCATACAAATTCAGTTATTCTCCCGGTTTAGATTCTTAATGGAGATTGTATTCTATTTAAAACCTTAGATCGAGTGGATCTTGGTCCTGATTTAATCCTAAAAAAAGTGTTGTGAGTGCTTAAGTTTTGTTTTAATTTACTTTTTATTAGTCAATTAACTCGGGATCTCAATTGTATTTTAATTTTTTAATCTAATTTTTATGCGTTATAGGACTTATCCTCGAGGAAAATGTTTGGAGTAGGTAGACTTTAGAATTGCTCGTGTCGTTTAGAGCCCACAAAAGTAAGGAAGGTACTTATGGCAAAGGACATAATGCAGTCGATTTATGACATCATTGTTCGGCCCTATACCAATAAATTGGGTTATGCTGGTTCCAAATTTGTCAATGCTAATCGACTCCTTGAAGAATTTTTTCTATAACATTAGAAGTACCTAGATTGTTGTTTTAGAGTAGTTTGAATAAATCTAATAAAAAATTTTATGTAGTACATTGTGAAATTTAAGGTCTATATCACACTCCTTCTCATTCTAAGACACATTGTTTTCTCATAATTATTGATGACTACGATCGTGCCATTTAGTTTTTTCTCATGAAACATAAGTTAGAGACCAAGTGTTACCTACTCGTTGTATTTCAATTGGGTACAAGCATAATTTAATATCACCATCAAGATTTTTTTACTAAAAATGGTCTTGAATTTACTCATTTAGATTTGATGAACTATTATTTTGACAATGAAATGGACTAACATACAAGTTGCATAGATACACCATAATAAAATGATGTTATTGAATGAAAACACATACATTTTTTGAAAATGGATATAAAGCCCTACTTTTTTAGCCTAACCTACTAGTTAGGTTTTAGAGTGAATACATCTTAACTATCGCTTATTAATGAGTCGGATGCCACTTACTATCTTATACAATAAAACATCTTATGAAGTTTTGTTTGGCAAATTACTCGGTTATGAACATGTATGAAGTTTTAGATGCCTTTCTTATGGACATGTCCCATAGTAGTCCTCATGGCAAATTTGCTTCACCACGTAAATCAAGCATTTTTGTTAGGTACCCACATGGATAAAAGAGAGGACACCTAATTTATGATTTGGACAACCACATGATTTATTCTTCTCGTGATGTATAATCTTTTAAAGATATTTTTCCATTTACATCCACTACAATTTTGCTAGTCGACTCATGCATAGACAATACCATGTTGGATTTGTCTCAACAAGCATCGCCCATTAATGACAATGATTTTGTTAACCAACATGGGCCAAATTTAGTTCCTCCTACCGATTTTAGATAGAGTGACCAACCCGGGCCTAACATTATCCTATCTCGTCTCGGTTTATTCTAAGTACGTCGACTTATCGGCCTTCCTCACAAATGGGTTGTCCAATTTGTCGTAACCCATAATTTTAGATTATGCACGGGCTATAAATGCATCTCTTAATCTGCCTAACATTTTTTCTCGTGTCTTAGTCCATCCGTATTACCACAACCTAACAACGCATTCACAACCTACACTGCCTCTCTCCTGTTTGGTCTAATTTTGGCAAAAATAGACCTTATATTTTTTATTCTTCATGATATATCCAGCTTTGTGATTCCAATTCTAATGGGCTTGGATCTTATGACGATCAATCTATTACTTCGACACTTATGTTTTATTACACTTTGCCACATTTCCTACTACCATTTTGTACTTTGCTCTCAAATCTCCATTCTTCTAACTCAATGGTACGATCATTTATCTCATAATATTTCATATTTCAATTGTTCTAACATTCATAATGTTTTCTTGGCAGTTATCTCTTTCATCGATGAGCCTACCATACATGAATAATAACATGTTGCTATCACTAAAGAAATTACCATTGTAGAAGATAACCATACATGGACACTTGTACCTTTACCACCTAGGAAGCGTGCCACCGATTCCAAATAGATTTATAAAATTAAGTTTCATTTAGATGGCTTTGTGGAACGATACAAGGCTTATCTTATGGTGAAAGGATATACTTAGATTAAAATGTATTGCCTTTCATGAGACATTTGTTCCGATTGCCAAATCGATCATAGTTTATTGTCTCTTTGTTACTATCTTCATATGTAAAATGGGATCTACACCAACTTATTATCAATAATGCTTTTTTGCATAGTAATCTTTTTTAAGAGTTTTATGTGAAAATTCCACGAGGGTTTGCCAAAAAAAGGAGCACTCGTTTTTGTCACCTTCTAAAATCTCTTTATGTGCTCTGTTAGGCTTCTCATAACTCGGTGTTAGAAATTTACTCAATCATTATTGTTGACACCTAATTTTTATCCTACTTAATTTTCTTAATATTATGAGAAAATAAATAAAAGAGAAAATTTTAATTAAAATAAATGGCTAAAAAATAATTTGAGGTCTAATTAAAAGAAATGAGAGGTTTGGGAACTAAAAGAATCTAATTAATGGTGCAATTGAAAAGTAAAAAACCTTAAACTCTTAATTAAAAGAAATGAAGGTACAATTAGGATAAATTTATAGAAGAGGTCCCAATTTATGATAATTAAGCGATGCCATTGAAGTTCAAATAAGCAAAACGACACTCCAATTGGCAAATACAAAGAAACTAAGGACCAAAATTGATGCTTATCCAAAATCCTAATTTTTTTTTCTATAAATACCCATCTTCTCTCCCATTTTAAGGGAGGTTAAACATTATTCATCATCCTCTTCGAATACCAAATACCAAAAATCCTTAAAAAATCTTACCGACCACCACAAGACCTCTACATATCTAGCGAACCCTCCACCACCATTAAAACCTCCACACAAATCAAAAATTTTTTTTAAAAAAAAATCCAAACATCCCTAGAGAGAAAACCTAGCCGAATCATCCACACATGGGTTAGATCCACCATACTCGTCAAAGTTTCTCTCATAAATTGATCACCCTCCAACCGATATCGCCTTCGACCACCACCACTAATTAGTATCCCAACCTTTGATCAATTGTTCTCAATCGGTTAAAGAAGAAAAAGATGTCGAGAGGAGGCTAGAATAGAGGAAAGAAGGTCGATGACCCGAACCATTTAAGAATCCAATCAAATCTCTCATTTTCGATCAAACTAACAACTCCCACCACTAAAGAACCATCCCTCATCCTCGAAGCTATATATATATATATATATAAAGCGAGTTCCCCCTAAAATCACGGCTCAACGTCATCAAAATTAATCAAATCAAATAAATAATTGATTCTTGATTTGTTTTTTAAGACCCGTTCTCATCGATCCATCTAACCTAAATCAAACCTTCCAACCACTCGGAGAAACACTCCCCATGGACTTCGAGTTGATCAATCTCTTTCTCGTGCCTTGCCATGGTCAAAATCGTGATCAAGGAGGAAGGAGAAAATAACAGTATTGTTCAACTATCGATCTCCCTCCTCCGATTACCGTGAATGACACTACTAACATCGGGCGGAAAAGGAGGTCCGAGCACTCCTTCCCTAACCATTGATGTGCTCAAAGGAGTTCGGATGGTGATAAAAACTTTTGGTAATAGCTACGAGGTCTTGTGGGAGAATTTTGGTAATTTTTTCAAACACGTGTGCCACATGCGTCAAAATTTATTTTTAAGATTTAACTAGAGGCATTTTGGTCATTTTACAACAACCTTTTCAACGCTTCAATAGGTAGCTACTTTCCCTCCCGGGTAATTGAATATTAGTTTTCATCGAGGTTAAAGAAAGTAAAATTGATCCTAAAGAGGACTTTGGACAAATTTAACACTTTTCAATAGCTATTTGGGATAACTTCTAAAAGTATTTGTATTAAAATGATCTAAATGAGATATCTTAATAAACAAAATATGAAGTTTCCTTGATTGTGTTTGATTAAAAATCTTGAATGTGATGTACCGAATATGTGATATTCATGTCCAGCGTGTGATTACCTATAACATCTCTAACCTAATTAGGACTTAAATAGGTCAAAAAGATTACCGAAAATGCCTCACATTTCAAGTGCAATGAATATGAGACATTAAGCTACTTGTCCTTTTACTATCAAATAAAATAATATTTGTTACTTGAAGCTCATCTAATTTTATTAATTATGTCCATCTTTTATTTAAAACTAGGCATAAAATTTTTCTCAATTAAATTCATTTAGTAAGAATATTCCTTATGCCCTAAAATTTAAGAACAATGCTATTCAATAATATGTGGATATATTTACCCATAAACATGCCTAAAATTTGTATTTGTAAAATTCAATTTAAATATTTTAAAATAACATTTTGAATTACAATAAAGCAATTTTCCTCTTTAATTTCCTTCATTTAATTTTATAAAATTTGAATTAATTAATTTAGTCAACATTATGAAACAATCAATTTATTCTTTATTAATTTAACAAACCAATTAAATAAAATTTCCATTATTCTTTCTAAAAATTCAGATTATTTGAAAAATAATCCCTTTGGTCTTATTTAATTAGTCGCCATGTTCCATTTAATAATTAACCTAATATATAGGTGATGACTATTACCAGTTTTAGCGAAAATTCATTAAGATTAAAAGTCCAATTAATTGACTTGATAAAAAAAAATTTATTGAGCCCATTGGAAGCTAAATAGGGTATTAAGCCTATTAGAGGCTATTTCAAATAGGGTTTTATGCATATTGAGACCTTGTACAATTCGATTTGTTTTTATTGAGATCCTAAATTTTTTTATATCTAATTTAAGAGTTCTACTCTTATGTTGTTGTTATTTCGGATCCTAGCCAATGATAGCTTGCCATTTAAGCACACGTGGCAAGCTCCAGCCAATGACGGTTTGTCATGTCATAAATTCAATCACTCAATATGGGTTCATCATGACATGTGGTAAGTCGTCATTAGCTAGAGCTTGCCACGTGTATCTACGTGACACATTAAGATCTAAAACAACAACAACATAAAAGCTCTTAAATTGGGCGAGAAAAAATTAGGATCTCAATCAAAAAATTTAAATTATACGAGGTTTCGATATACGTAAAACTCATTTTAAAGAAAAATACCAATTCAATTACTTGTTTTGATTAAATTCGGTTATTCCATGTTGATTAAATTCAATTATTTGCTTAATTAAATTAAATTATTGCTTTTAAGTCAATTAAACTATTTAACCCTTTAATTATTATGTTCCAATTAATCCAATTTAATTCCTTATTTAATCCAATTATTTGCTTAGTCCAATTGATTTAACCAACCATTAATTTCATGTATAAAACCAAACTTTCTACTACTAACCACACCTATATTTATTTATTATTAGAGTTATCCTAAAAGTATTATTATTTTACAAACCATAAGTACTAACTCTAGTAAATAGACTAAGGTCTAAAAACATGGTACAAAGGAAAAGTTAAAATCCTTGAACTCACATCTATATTTTAAGTACACTCAACAACAAGTCGATTTTGCACGACAACAACTCCTAATTCGAAGCATATCATCTTTTAATACTTTTCTCGCCTACACCACAAGAAGAAAAAGGTGAGCTATGCTTAGTAAGTATAGTCCATGTATGTAACGCACATGATGTAATTAAAAATTATTTTTATGTCTTTTGAAATTCATTTTCCTTTTCGGATGCATTCCATCGATTGTATATATAATCGGCCCTTTTTTAAAATATAAAATTGCAAAAAACTCACAAAAGCACTAAGTACCTTCCTTTTTTTTTCCTTCTCTTTTCTTTTTTCCTCACAAAAGGCCGATCATTACTCTTGCAATATTTTTTGAAGGTACCTAGCCATTTTCTTTAAAAACAAGCATTTCCTTTTTCTTTTTTTCTTTTTTTGAAAATCATGAAGAAAAATCATTCCATGATTATGACATGAAATGCATGCAATTAAATGCATTTACTTCAAACCTTTTCATAAATATGCATGCATCGACATCAACTTGTAAATGTAAAATAAACATTACATGTAATTAATAATTCATTGCATGCATGAATTTAACATTAAATCAAACAAATACCATTAAGTCATAAAAGTTAGCTTAAGGTTGAAACATGTCATCAAATCAACATCATGTAACCAAAAATAGATCCAGCAAAAAACATATATATTTATCCTTAAACAATCTAATAAACATCAATTCATTACAATTTCATGGAATTAACCAATTAATCCTCAATTTTACCTTTGGAAAAAATATTCATCTCACATAACCAAGCAGAAATTCTTCAATTAAACACTTGTATTCATGTTAAATCATCCTTCCATATAATTAAACATTATTAAACATCGATAAACCACTTCTTTCTCCAGATCACTAGCTAGGTCGGCGGTCTCCACAAATGCCTCTTTCAATGGACTTATCCCTTTGGTTAAAAAAGTGTTCATATAGAGCCTTTCACGCCCCTCTTTAATACTCTCGTCAAGAAATGAGAAAAAAGCCTAAAAAAGGAGTAACTCTAAATCATAGGTAAAAATTGTTAGAAAACAATAAGAATGGTCCATCTATTTAAATAAAACTAGTTACTTGCTCATTCCGAAATGCAAAAAACCTTTACCAAAAACTCGAATAAAAAGGATTTGTAATTGTACTTAACCGTACAAGTAGGAATATTTATCTCTATATTTTCATCTACGACTTTAGTTATGAGCCCTTCCATCCTATCACTTTAGTGAGGGATGACTACAAGGTAATCCCAAACTAAACAACTATAAAAGGCATCTACCTTTTTTCTAAAAATTCCATTGAGACTCCTTTCTACATAGGAAGCCGCTAACTTTTGTACACTCTTCACTACTAGGAATAGCCCCGGACAAAGCTCTCAACCTCTCCAAATCTATCATTCTCTCAACCAAACACTAAATGAAGGAAAAGAAAGATACTATACATATTAAAGTTCTTATGATTAGCCAAAAAAGAGAAAACTCTATAGTAGACCATATTATCCTTTAAAAGCATCAGTCCACTAAGATTTCTCATGTTTGGAGAGAAAAATTCACCTAGAAACGTTTTCGCAATAATAATCATTTTTAGAGTCTAAAAGCAACCACCAATCTCTAGGAATCCCTGTCAACTCTTTGAAAATTCACTATAATAAAACAAATAACCGTAAGACCAAAACACCATCACCTATGTATATGCAAAAGAGTAAGAAGTCTTTGCATTGAATATCTAAGAGTTCAAGTCCGAGTAGACAAGCCTAATTTGACATAGACCAATCATGAATTGCCATTAGTCCTATAGAGCAGTCGAGGCCGACACCATTTGATGAACAAGGGAGACTCCAAAAGGTAAAATTTCTTTGACTTTCTTAAATGCTCTCATGTATGAGTGTTTAGTTTTTTTACATGGCTGCACATTTATCAAAGTTATAAACGAGTAAATAAGCCTTTCATACGTCTACTAAGATCAAATTTGAAAAAGATAAGTAAGAAATTGTTGATTGCCCCGGACATAGCTAAGAATCTCGTCACAAAATCTAGACTTAAATTGAATCTTCATCGAGTACACTCATCAAATACATATAGAGGCTATTAATATATCTACGTGATCGTAATCTTTGTTTTCAATGATAGCTTATGTTAAAACCATGAGATTATCCTGCTTACATAGTTTCTTTAAGTCCTATCATACATATGAAGCTTGATATCTTTGTAATCGAGCACCATATCCGGATTCAAAATACGAGCTTGATGCATTCTTTAATTCTTTCCTCTTTCAACTAATGTGGGTGTAAGATAAACTACTTCTAAGTTACGAAAGAAACGATTCGAGTCGCAAAAGTACTCCAAGGTTAAAGCCGACTCACGACTCACCAAAACTTCCCGTGCCATTCTCTCGGGCACGGGGTTATAAAACAAACCAAACTATTTAATAAAATATTCACTTGAGCTCGATTGTTAGTTAAATAAATCAAGTTTGATGATAATTTTAAAGTTGGCTTATTTTTCAAGAATGAACTTGAATAATTTATTGTTTGTTTCGAGATGTCGATGAACATGAAATATATTTTAAATAATTATTTTTAAAAAAACATCATTAAAATACAGTACTCATATTTTATTATAAAATAAACATAAAAAGACCTTTATGATACTGAATAATTTTAACATTCAAATAAAAGCTAATATACCAAGTTGGATAAAAGAATTATTTTTTTAAAAATAATTATATTAAAATATTCATATTTATTTGATTTTATTTTGTTTGTGAATAAGTTCAAGCTCCATTAAAAAAAGTCATACACCAAGTTTGAACATGCTATTTTGAAGCTCTGAAATAATACTCGAGTTTAGCTTGAAATCAATTTAATTTACATGAACCAACTTTGATAATTGGTTTGACTCGGTTCCCAATTTTGCCCTAACTCAGCCCGTGTTACTATCACTTGCTGATTCGTCAGTAGTGTGCGAATAAAGGTTGTTCTGTACTCAGGAGCAAGGGCAATTTCTATATCCCATTAATTTATCTTATTGTTAAATTCCATCAACTTTTCTATCAGAATTTACTCTTCTAGTGATCTGTTACTGTTAGACACACAACGGCAGGAACTTCCATGTCAACAAAGAAGAAAGACATGTCGTCTTTTCAAATGACATGTCATTTCATCGTGTCAACCATTTTCTCTCCTCATCGTCAAAGCATCAGCAAGTGCCAACTTCCATCAGCTGGAAAAAAAGGAAAAAAGAAAAAAAAATTCCACTGATAACCATTTTCGCCACCTTCCTTCCCTCCTCCCTCTTTCTGAAATTCCAATCAAAATTTCGAAAAACCATGGAATCAAATTCACCAACATTCATGTCCAGATCACCCAAACACATTCTCTAAGACCAAAAAAACAACCTGAAGAATTAAATTCCAATCTTGGTCTATTATTATTACTTTCATTTATAAAAGACCAAGAATATGGATATACTTTACGCTCAGATCCAAGCAGACCTCCGTTCAAATGACGCTCTCCGCCAAACAGGTGCACTTCTCCAAGCTCTCCAACAATCCGCCGCTGGTCGCGACATTTCTATCCTCGCCAAATCCGCCGTTGAAGAGATCGTCGCCTCTCCTGCCTCCGCCGTCTGCAAAAAACTCGCTTTCGACTTAATCCGTTCCTCTCGCCTCACCGCCGATCTCTGGGACACAGTCCTTACTGGTATCCGCAGCGATCTCCACTTCCCTGACCCCGACGTCACTGCTGCTGCTATCTCCATCCTTGCCGCCTTGCCTTCTTATGCTCTCTCCAAGCTTATTACGGATTCCAATGCGGAAATATCAGGTTGTTTTGATTCGCACAGTGATAATTTGAGATTTTCAATTACTGAAACCCTCGGGTGTATTTTAGCACGCGATGATTTGGTTACGCTGTGCGAGAATAATGTGAATTTGCTAGATAAGGTCTCGAATTGGTGGGTGAGGATTGGGGGGAACTTGTTGGATAAATCTGATGCGGTTTCGAAAGTTGCTTTTGAATCAGTTGGGAGGCTGTTTCAAGAGTTTGATTCGAAGAGGATGAGTCGGTTAGCGGGGGATAAGTTAGTTGATAGTGAGAATTCGTTAGCAATCAGGTCGAATTGGGTGTCTTCGATGGTGGATTTTGTGTGGAAGAGAAGGAATGCGCTGATGTCGAGATCATTGATTTTACCAGTAGAGACTTTTAGGGCTACGGTTTTTCCACTTGTGTTTTCAGTGAAGGCAGTGGCATCGGGGAGTGTGGAGGTGATTAGGAAGCTTTCCAAGGCAGGAGCAGGTGGTGGTGTTAATGGGAGTATTGTGGACTCAAATGCAGAGAGGTTGGTTGGGGTTTCGGATGTGGTCACGCATTTGGCACCATTTTTGGTGTCATCGTTGGATCCGGCATTGATTTTTGAGGTTGGGATTAATATGTTGTACTTGGCTGATGTCCCTGGAGGGAAGCCAGAGTGGGCTTCACAGTCTATTATTGCAATTTTGACACTTTGGGATAGGCAAGAGTTTTCTTCTGCAAGGGAGAGTATTGTTAGAGCTGTTGTTACGAATCTGCACCTGCTTGATCTTCATATGCAGGTATGGTTTTTATCCTTATATTTACAGTTTCCGTATATTGGGAGCAATGAGGCTGAATCACATCAAGTAGCACTCAAAACACTTCTCAAAACACTGTTCTTAGTAGTTAGTCCATAGCACCCTGGAGTGCATTAAGTTCGTTTAGACTTCATTTGCTCAAGTGGAAAGCCATGTTAGGACAAAAAATGTGTTCATAGTGCGGATTAAGAAATGCATTGTTTAAGCAATGTGATTTCTTAACTATGTTGTGGAATGGAATAATTTCTATAAACGAGATGTCTCTGAGTAAAACCGTTGAGTAATATGGTGTCTTTTGTTGATTAGTTTTGGTCATTCATTGATATAGTAAACTTTATGCTTGAAGGTTTCATTATTTAAGAGGCTGCTGCTTATGGTGAGAAATTTGAGGGCTGAATCAGACCGTATGCATGCTTTAGCTTGCATTTGTCGGACAGCACTTTGTGTTGACCTTTTTGCTAAAGAAAGTGTTAGAAGAGGTCAGAAGCCTCTTGCAGGAACTGATATTGCCTCTCTCTTTGAGGACGCAAGGATAAGAGATGACCTTAATAGTGTGAAAAGTAAGAGCTTATTTAGGGAGGAGTTGGTGGCCTCGCTAGTGGAAAGTTGCTTTCAGTTGTCCCTACCTTTGCCTGAACAAAAGAGCTCAGGAATGGAGAGCAGAGTTATTGGAGCTTTGGCTTATGGAACTGGTTATGGTGCGTTAAACTGGACAGAGCCAGCTTTGGAAGTGGTGGAAGTGTGCAGGCCTTGTGTCAAATGGGATTGTGATGGTAGGACGTATGCAGTCGATTGCTATTTAAAGTTGCTTGTTAGGTTGTGCCATATCTATGATACCCGGGGAGGAGTGAAAACTGTTAAAGATGGTGCTTCTCAAGATCAAATTTTGAATGAGACAAGGTTGCAAAATTTGCAACGTGAACTTGTGAAAGATCTACGAGAGGTATGCACTCTTCTTTGAAAATCAAATGACTGTTGCAGAAAGCCTGAGATCTTAGCAATGTATGAATGTCATATGAGTCACAATGTGCTTTTCAGTTTATAACCTTGACTGATTTTGCAGCTGATAAGAAGGATAGTATTTTTTGCTAACAAATTTGTTATCTTGATGACGTATATGTGGACTAAACAAATGTCTAGCTTTTGGCAGTCACTGCCTTAGACTATTATGTTTGTTTGAGTTTTGTGCGACACCATGTGTAAGCTAGGGCTGTCAATGGATTGGATTTTGACCCGAGTCCAATCCAACTCTGATATAATTAAATGGATCTAATATACAATTTTTATGATTCGACTGCGATCTGTTAACCCTTTTATTAAATATATCAAATATGAATTTACTTTGATCTGGTATGATAATAACCAGATCTAAAATTAATATTCATATTATTTTTAATAAATATAATATCTTCATAACATTATAAAAAGAAAAAGAAAAAGAAAACATATGTCACTAGGTTTAAATTTAGGGTTAATTTACTCTAGATGCTAAGAAATTTTCTATATTTATATTCTTTTTTTCTCAACATTGACAGCTATTCTTTCAAAAGATTACATGATAACTTTTTTCCCATCATTTTTCAAGTTCCAAATTAATTTTGTGAAAAATCCTATAAACATATGAAAATGAAAATTGAGTTGTTGCTAGTATCGTAGGTGTGCTTCTAATTTATAAAATCTTGATTCAATTAGAATTTTTATTCATTTTAAGCTTGTTATTTGTAAAACAGTTGGATTTTCTTTCATTCCAATCAAGTTTTGCCTAGTGTAGGCATTTTTATTATTCTTCTTTAACTTTGTTATACTTCTTGCCTAATTTAAATTAATTTTGACCTTTAATATAAATTTTTATCTAAATTATTTGATTTTGTTATTTTTAATAGCGAGACATGTGGATTTTTTTTTTTCAATTTACATGTTAAATATTATCATTTTTTGTATACATGCAGTACTTAAAATTCATTTTACATTGAAGCATGATCTTGAATGTAGCCAACACTTTTTCTTTGAAAAAAATTGAATGATAGATCCGATGGATATTTGAATCCAATCCAAACCCATTAGGTTTTGGATCTGAATTGATAATTGCAAAACTCAAATGCGAGTTCATAGAATCCGATTCAATCCATTTATTAAAGAAATCGGATCATCCGGATCTACTATGATCTGATTTGATCCTAATTCGACCTGTTGACAGTCCTAGTAAGCTTTCTGGTTATATGAGATAATAAAAGCTGATTGCATATTTGCTGTTCATCAGTGACACAAGAAGCCTTCAATTAACAAATGCATTGCTAGAGAGTTTCATTCTACCCATTTTATACTCGGTTGATGATGCTTGAAAATTTGTGGCATGGAATATTGATTTCTCTATTCATGTTTGGAACTCCAAGTTCTTGATGGATCAGCTATTGTTATTTGTGAGTGCTTTCTGCAACTGTTAAATGATTTGTCAGGAACTAAAGAAACACTCGTTTGGAAACAAATGTAGTTAATATCAATGTTATATGGTTTTTATCTCTCAATGGATTTCCTTTCCTCAATGTTAAACTCTCTCAATCATGTTTTTTTATTTCTTCCTTTCCTCCATTCTATATTTATTTTCAAAATCTTGATTTAAGTCCAAGTTGTAGCTCATTCCACAAAGGTTCTATGATTTTCTGCTGTGTTGCTTCTCTGTCAATTTAACAGGTAAACACCCCAAGAATATGTGCCCGTCTTATTTGGGCTATCGCAGAACACATAAATCTAGAAGGTTTGGATCCACTACTAGCTGATGATCCAGAGGATCCACTGAACATTATTATATCAAATATCCACAAGGTTCTATTTAATGTTGATTCATCAGCAAATACATCAAACAGGCTTGAAGATGTTCAGGCAGTTCTTTTAAGTGTTCAGAGGTTGGGATCACGAAACCCTAGGGGCAGCCAGTTACTGTCCAAAGAACTTGAAGAGTTTAGAAACAATGGTTTGGCTGATTCAGTCAACAAGCACCAGTGCCGTTTGATATTGCAGAGAATTAAATACGTTCAAAATCATCCAGATAACAGGTGTGCATTTCTCATTATTACCAAAATTCTGAAGTTGAGAGTGATAAAGTTCTGATATTATTTTTATAATTGAATTTGCTAATGATATTGAACATTATGGCAATACAGTGTATAGTGTTCTATCCTCGAGTATTAACATGTTCTTATCTACATCCAAGAATGTGCTTCCAAGAATGTGCTTTTCAAGCATTGTTTCTGTTCATGCTTTCTCCAGATTGAGTTGTAAGGTGCTGCAGCATTTTGGTGAAATGGAACTGGGTGAAACCCAGGTTGATTTCTAGTTTGTTGGATATGCGTGGTGTCACTGCATCTTTCTATATTAGGGTACTATCTGGATGAATTCTTTTATTTTATTCCATGTGATCAAAAGCGACTTAATTTCCATTAGATTCTAAGTTATTGAAATTTCTTTCGCCCCTTTAAACCATGGCACTTTTTGGCCTTTTGCATTCTTTTTCCCCAAATGCTTTAATGAAATAAATCTTCCAGAGCTGCTTGCACAAGCCTTTTCAATTATTATTTTTAAGCTATTCAAAGATGATGGTCTTCTATCTGTAATTTATGTATTTAAATAGTGAATTTGGGGTAGACTATTAAGCACGGCTCAAATATTTAGTTCTCATCTGTCTGTGGTCACATTTATGTGTAGATAGTTTTGTCTTGCATAGATGTGTCATTGCTTCAGTGCTTCAAGCAATTTTGTGTGCTTATACCAATATGTGCATGGTTTATTTATTGGTTCATGAGAAGACTTACGCATCATAAAGCTAGAAACATGTTCATTATATTCATGTCATACAAACCCTAGGCTAGAAATGTCCGTCTTTGTCCTTTTTTTTCCCTCCTTCTTGTTGGCAAATCTTCTTTTATTCAAAAACTAAAAACTAGAAAGAAAATGAAAGATATTTTGGAATTCCCCAAGCTTAGGCATCTCCTCACCTTCCCTCTTCTTCTATTTAGCAATTTGTTAATTGTTGATTTGCTGCATATGATTTTGGTAGTAGAAAACTAGAAATAATTTTTCGTTCAATTATTTTTTATTTGTTTTCTACTGTTCTCACCAGCCTTTCTTCGGAAACATATGGTAATAATTTTGTTATGCAAACTCATTTTTTTACATAAAAGAAGGAAAGAGAGAAAGAGTAAACTTTGCTATCCATGGAATTGAGATATGGCATTTCTCTCTCAGGTGGGCTGGCGTTAGCGAAGCCAGAGGAGACTACCCATTTAGCCACCACAAACTTACGGTTCAGTTTTATGAAGCAGCTGCTGCTCAAGACAGAAAATTGGAAGGGTTAGTTCACAGGGCTATTTTAGAGCTTTGGAGACCAGATCCAAGTGAATTAACCATTTTGTTGACAAAAGGAATTGACTCTCCACTACTTAAGCTTCAGCCTACTGCAAATACTTTGACTGGTAGCAGTGATCCTTGCTATGTCGAAGCTTACCATTTGGCAGACTCAGGTGACGGGAGGATCACCCTACATCTAAAGGTTATAACTTTTTCGAACTCATAACAGTTTTAGATGCTTCCATGGACCAATGTAGCTGTTTTTCTCTATAATATAGCATAGAATGAATTGGTAATTAGCTCTTTAAGTCAAGTACTTCCATAACATGACAACATTGCTCTCCTTATCACTAAAATGAGGGATATTGTGAACAAATTAAATGGAGTGGTGGATACTTAAGAGATTAGATGTAACTAAAATTTCAGTTTGTACAATTCTTGGACCCGAATTAATGTTTACGAGCACTTCACCAGTAGTTTGTTTCTCAGGAACTTTACTTGATAAAGCATTAGAGCTTTATGCAACAATATTTGACTTAATGATGTTGTAGAAATTTCATACACACTCCATGTGCTTCAGGGGCATTTCGCCCATCTATGTCAGTATTAGGTTTTGTTAAAGGTGTTAAAGTTATGTTTAGATCACTTGTGCTAATTGTAATTGACTGAGGAGTCAAACTTGTTTATATTCTAATAATATTTGCTAGCAGAGCAACTTACTAATATTGCAGTTAGTATATAAACTAAGAATGATTGCTATACCTCTAAGTTTAAAGTTTTTATACATTAGAGAAACCAAAAAGAGTTACAAGCATAGTAATCTCTCACATTTTTCCTACCATGTAGATGTTGCTATGGTGGAGATGCTTTCTTTTCTTGTTGATGATACTCACTCTATGAACGTTTTGCAGGTTTTAAATTTGACTGAACTTGAACTGAACAGGGTGGATATTCGAGTTGGGTTATCTGGTGGATTATATTTTATGGATGGATCTACTCAAGCTGTGCGACAGCTGCGGAATCTTGTTTCACAGGTATCTTTTTGTACTGTCTCAAATACATATTCTTCCTAAAACTTGCTCTGTTTCTTTTTTTAGTTGGCTTTGCAATGCTGTTTTCTTATGTTTTTTTTATCATTTGATTACGCAATTTTTCGATATTTTATTGATTGGGTGGTTATTCTGGAAGAATATGATATGTGCCGCTAAATGCCTTCTCGATATCGTTTTCTCAATGGATGTTGGGTTCTAGTTGTTATTCATGTCCAGTTTTCATTATTTTAACTGCTGTGTCACAAAATCTGGTTCTAGGAATGACTTTCAGTTGGTGAGAGGTGAAGTGATGGCCTTTCTTGAATTTCTTTTCATTTTATAGACCTTTTTATTTTTTAATTATTATTATTATTATTTTTATTTTTTTTTTTTGGGGGGGGGGGGGGGCGCGGGGGGAATGGGTATCTAGTCATGATTTTTCTGCCGGTGGATGCTATTTGTCTTACCATATTGTTAATACTGTTGTTTGCAGTGTTCTTTCTTTCTTTCTTTCGTTCTTCTTTTTTTTTTTTTTTTTTTTAATTGTAATAGCTACACTTTCAGAATTTTGACCTATGCACTGGATTCTGTACATAGGATCCAGTACTCTGCAGTGTTACATTGGGTGTGTCCCATTTTGAGAGATGCGCTCTCTGGGTTCAAGTCTTGTACTACCCGTTCTATGGAAGTGGTGCAGTAGGAGATTATGATGGTGATTATGCTGAAGAGGATCAACAGATCATGAAACTGAAAAGAAGCTCGAGACCAGAACTAGGAGAACCTGTGATTTTGAGGTGCCAGCCTTACAAAATTCCGCTGACTGAACTTCTTTTGCCACATAAAATTTCTCCTGTTGAGTTCTTCCGGTTATGGCCCAGTTTACCAGCCATAGTAGAGTATACTGGTACATACATTTATGAAGGAAGTGGCTTCAAGGCTACTGCTGCACAGCAATATGGATCTTCTCCTTTCCTCAGTGGACTAAAATCCTTGTCATCCAAGCCTTTCCACAGAGTTTGCTCGCACATCATCCGGACAGTGGCAGGGTTTCAGGTAGGACTCTCTCTCCAATGTTTGAGGTTTTAACTATTACAGCTGAGGTTTGTCTACAAGAATTTAATCCTTTCTTGTTGCTATTGCTATACAAGTCACCTCAGTTATGTTCAATTACAAATCGTCCAGTTGCTATCATGTTTCACCAGCTTGAACTCAAAAAGAAACCATTGTTATTGTCCCTAATGCAAACTATTTTACTTAATATGTTCTGTCAAATAAAATTTTGAGTTCCCTATTGTGTGACAGATTTGCTATGCTGCCAAAACTTGGTATGGAGGCTTCTTGGGCATGATGATATTTGGGGCCAGTGAAGTGAGCAGAAATGTTGATCTGGGTGACGAAACAACAACAATGATCTGCAAATTTGTTGTTCGAGCATCTGATGCGTCAATCACAAAGGAGATTGAAGCAGACTTGCAGGGCTGGTTGGATGACCTTACTGATGGAGGTGTGGAGTACATGCCAGAAGATGAAGTGAAAGAGGCTGCTGCCGAAAGGCTAAGGATTTCAATGGAAAGAATAGCCTTGTTCAAGGCAGCCCAACCACCACCCAAAACTCCAAAATCTGACGATGAAGAAGAGATAGAGGAGGATGATGAGAAAAACAAGGAAAATGAGAGTGATGGCGATAAGAAAGAGGGCAAGGAAAATGGTAAAAAACCAAAAGGAACCCTGTCGAAGTTAACCGCGGAGGAGGTTGAGCACATGGCTCTTCAAACAGCTGTGCTCCAAGAGTGGCACGTCCTGTGTAAAGAAAGAAGCACGACTGTAAACTAATGACATTCTTTTGCCATGATTATGAAAAGTTCGATGGTATTCTTTGTATTTTTTGTATTCTAGTTTTGACATCTGCAATAGGGTTAGTTGAATTTTGGTTAGAATTTCTTCTCATTATTATTTTTCCCCTTCCCTTTATGGGGATACCCCTTGTGCATCATTTACAGCCAGTCATTGTTCTAGTGTTCCTGTGAGAAATTACAAATGAGTCATCTTTTAGACGTGTTGCTCCTTTTGGTTGTGGCTCATTTCCACTTTGAAACTCAGATCATTTTGTGCACCTTTATAATTTTCCGATAAAGAATTAGTTTGTACGCTTTGATTGAACTTGGATTGAAAAAGATGCGAAATTTTGTGTATACTTTTTAGGTTTATCTAGCTTTGTGATAGAAAAGGCCATCACATCAATTCTCAGTTGCTGTAATCAATTGGCAAAATCCAATTAGCTAGACTGGAGCCCCACAACACAACTTGAACGGACCATAATCTATTAAGGTAATAGATAGATATGGTGGAGTACGAAACATGCTCAGTTATGCAAATGTTTTCTACAGATTATATGTTTGTTTCTACACCATTCAAGAGAATTCTGTTCCTCTGATTTCTCACCCTGGCAACAAACACTAGGTTGTAGCATGCTCAACAGTGCATCAGGATTCATGTCCACCACAAACCTCCACTTGAAATATTAAGGACGAAACGCAGGCAGGATGGTCTAGTAATTATGTTGCACATAGACGGGACATCCATAAAACTTGAAAACTTGAAATGAAATGACACAAGACTGGATTTCTATCATAATTTGTCGAGAAAAGAAAAGACAAAATAAAGGAATTTGACGTAATATATCCTTTTGTTCTGAAGTGAAACAAGGGTTTAAATTTCCCATCTCTTTAAACATGGACCCATAGACAGTAGCCTAACATCGTTCTCAATTAAATACCACTTATATTCCAAAATACTCCAATTTCCCTTATATGTTGAATTTCTGAGGAACAGGGTCAAAATCATCAAAGTCGAATCTCTGACGCTCTCTTCCGGCCTAGAGAAACACAGGAACAAACTGATTAGTTTGTGCATACTTGATCCTAAACAAGCTCAGCTAATAAGTATTACAGGAAGCAATGTAATAAGCTCACCTTTGCCAAGTACAAAGGATCACATGATATGTGTTCATCCATTGCAGTCAGCTTCTTTGACAGTGTCATTATCCTAGTATAAAAAACATGGGGAAAGGTAAGGGATTACCAAAATATTCATCAAAGACTTAAAATCATGATTGTCTTGATACAACCTAGTAAATAGATTGTCTTGATATTGAAAATCATGATCTCATCATTTATTGCTGTGAAAATAGCATAATGCAATTATATTTACAGTTAGCAAACCATCAGATGCTAAATGCAAATAAGGGATTCATTATGGTCTATTCAAAAGTCAATCAATATACACTAAAGAGAAAAATTATGGGCACTTCAATCCTGTTTTTGGCAATGACATCCAGATAGCTCTTATGTGCTTAAGTTGATTATGAAATTTTGTTCCATAATTACAATTCCCTTGAGGAAAACATGCTGCTCAGAGTTTAAAGACACTACCCCACTTATGTTTCCATTGAAGTGGAAATTTGAGTGAGGATATTTGCAGATAGTCTAATCGTTCATCACCTGGGCATGATGCAGTTGTTCTCAAGTTCATCACCTAGGCATGATGTAGTTGTTCTCAAGTTCATCATATGCACTAAAGACAAAAATTATGGGCATTCCAATCCTCTTTTGGCAAAGACATCCAGATAGCTATTTTGTTCTTAAAATTAATATATGAAATTTTGTTCCATAATTACAATTCCCTTGAGGTAAACATGCTGCTCAGTGTTTAAAAACAACTACCCAGAGTAGATATTTGCAGATAGTCCAATGTTCGTCACATGGGCACGATGTAGTTGTTCTCAAGTTCATCATAAGTGCATGATGTAGTTCTCAAGACTCAAACCAGCACCCTCTGGTTGCAAGTCTAAAGACAATTGGCATTGCTTTTATTAATGGCCATTAGAGTATATTCAATGTTATCACCAAATATTTAGCACTGGAACTACCAGCAGAATGGAAGTATTTCACTGATAAATAACAGTTTAAAATCCCGGCCACTTTACCTCTGAATAGAAGAATCAATACACTCAATCATCTCACAGGTTTTATATTGCTCTGGATCCTCTAAAAATCTAACCATACCGTCTTTCTGGTTGATTGTTGCATATATCTCACCATCTTGGATCTACAATTTGAAATAAAAATGTTAATTTATATTATGGTAGCTATAGGAGTGCACTATTAGTGATCTATTTACTTTTCAGTATTTTGCAGTAAGTTGTTCGCAAAGAAAATGAAAGAAAAAATATATATGAAATTACTGTATGCTTAACATCAGAGATTGCATAGGGAACAACCATTTGAAGCACATGCATTTCTGCCTCTTTAGGACTGCTGAGTTGCACAGTGTTGGCTATATCTTGGAGGGAAAGAGTCAAATAAGTTTGGGTCAATCTCTGAATGTTTTTCTTATACATGGATGATACGACCTGCTTCACCAGTCCAAGATTATTGTCCTGAAAAAGAATGCATGGACAACTTTAGATGACGAAGAGATTTTAGATTTGTCTTAGTAAGTGAAAATGCGAAATGTTTGCTTCTAGACTCACGCTGTCAAACTTTTCCCTGTTTGTCTGAATGTATGTCTCTAATTCTGAAATCTTTCCACTGCTACAAGTATTTGCCAATTCCACATATGGCTGATCAAAGGGTAAAACAAATGTGTTAAGAGAATAGAACCCAACCAAAATTTCAACTCTGACCTGCTATATAATTGCAAAATGCAGAGACAAACAATGTTGACGGAAACAACAAATATTTCACCAAAAAAAAAAAGATTTTCTATTTATTTCATTTGATAATCTCAGAGATAAATATGGTACATAACATTTTAAAATAGATTCAACCTAACACATCCATGGTGAATGCAGGCTTTCATCCAGGCAAATTAGATTAGAATTCTATCACTGGAAGCTGGGTAGTCGTATGATAAGTTTAGGTTCCACACATAGGATGTATGAATGAGAAAGGTCTTTTTTTTTCCTTCTTTTTAAGTCCACATACACTATCCACTCACACATAAAACAGCATACTTGGGGTTCTGTTGTTTTCACAGGCTATGTTACAGATTCAGTTAAACAACTTCTGAACTTTATTCTCATGGACACTATGATCTGGGCTAATTAAAGTAAGGGTAAATTTTAATTTATCCCCTTGAGGTTTGAGGGGTTCTTCAATTTCTCCCCTGAAATTTCATTTGTATCAATTAACCCCTTGAACTTTCATCAAAGTTTCAAATCTTTCTTTCCACCAAAGAGCTTGTAGCCTAGTGGTAGTGATCTCTTGCAAGAGGTTACGGATTCAAATACTAACAGATTAGTTCTATTAGAAGCGTTGGGTGTGTGTGTGTGTTAAAAAAAAGAGTAAAAAAAAAAAATCATTCTTTCCATCTATTAAACTAACATAACTAATGATATGACATTTTTATGTTTCAATTGACTTTCTAGAATATTAGAAATGTATCAATCAAATATTTATCCTTCAACTATATTAAAATTCATCTCATCAAAAAAATTTGAAAAAAAAAAATACAGTTAGTATTATTTCAATTATAAAATGCCACATTATTAGTTATTTGTTTGAGTTTATGAATTTAATATGATTTGAAGGATTAATATGAAAATTTCAATTCTAATTTGGGAAAAAATATATATAGTGCACTATTATTATTAATTCTATTATTTAACTTTACATTTTACACAATTAACACAAGTTTTTTGTTTTTTGTTTTTTGAAAATGAGAATATATATATAAAAAAAATGATGCCAAGCTATGTTAACATTTTTTTTTCCTTTTATCAAGACAGTATGTTAACTTGATATTAGATCCTATGACTTAATTAAAATATACCAGATTTATAATTTGAGTTTGTGTAATTCTATCGATATTTTTTTACATGTTAGAATTTATAAATTTGAGAAATATGAGATCAAAAAAGCAAATATAATCTTAATTGAAAAAACAAGATAGTTAATATGATTAAGAAATTCGTGCTTAATTAAGATTTTAAAAAAACTTTTGGACGTCAATCGAAAGATAAAAAATTTCACGTCAGTAATGTTAGTTTAATAGGTGAAAAGGAAGAATTGAAACTTAGATGAAAATTCAGGATAGTACTTGATACAAACAAAATGGGAGAAATTAAGAAACCCCTCAAACCTCAAGGGGGACAGAAAATTAAAATTTACCTTAAATCAATTCAAAAAATTTTGCCAGTTACATGCAACTTAAATTTGTAATTACCGGACATAAGGTCTTTAGATTCCTCTGAGCTGCTGAAGAAGTGTACTTAGGTAGATTGGTAGAGAACTGCCAAAAAAAAAAAAAAAAATCAAATGCTGTTTCGAAGAAATTTGAGAAATGAATTATAAATGATCTTGGGGTGTCAAAACTTGTCCAGGATGCCCATCCAAGCCAATGAAGAATAATACTGGAGTAAGAAAAGCATGACCTTGGGAAACTAATTAATTGTAAGCACGCAAGCATTATTCAATTTTCCAAAAAACAGATCCTAAGACTCTGCTATCATGAACAGATATTGCTGAATAACCTTTACATCCCAAATTCATATCATAAATGTCAGAACAAAAACACAAACCTGTCCACTGTGAATGAGAGAAACCAGTATATATTTTTTGAATGCTTCAACAGCTATAGCATTTATAGAAGACATAGGAGCAGTCACGACCTAAGATGAGATAGAACCAATTAGGAACAGTAACAAGGTCAAACAATTACAATATTATTGAATAGTCAAAGTAGATGGACAGATTGCAACTAGATCACATACATTGTGTAGAAGCTCCAGTGCTTTCTTAAAACGCTTTTGTCCGATGCATATCATCCCCCTGTCAGGATGTCAAATGTCAGATACACTAAAAGAAATTCCTCATCCATACAAGAGATAACAAATTGGCTGCAAGATGCTTAAATGATTTGTATCTGGGAGAGGTGAGGGCTATCTAACAATCAAAAGCATGAAACTCCCATGTCTTTTCATCTCTGCTTATTCGCTATTAAGTGACCAAATTCTTGATTTCACACTTTTTAGACTCAAGGGTTTCGTAACATCAGCAAACCCATTAAAGTCTACACAGGCTCCAAGAGACATAAAATTCAGGCTCCTCCATGGCAATACACACCATGCAGATTTTCTAACATTACCTTAGCTAAAAAGTAATCCTGGCATGGTAGAATTACATAATTATGAAAAATAGTAAAGATGCTAAATCCATTCAATAGACAAGCACAAATTATTAAATTTCTTATTTGTAAACTAAATCGCAAAAGCAAAAAAAAAAAGTAGCAAATGCATGCAGTACACAGAAGGTCTGGCAGCAACTCACCCATAATAACAATAGAGAAAAAAATCCCTTGGCTGATCAACCTCAAAAATATTATCCTCCAGAATGGAAAGACCAGTTTTATAGCACTTGGCCAACAAACAAAGTTGAAGAAAATCCGGATGTAAAGTACTCAAATGTTCAGAGGAGGAGCGTATCTTTTTCACAGCTTCCAGCAAAGGGGCCACACCACGCATAGGTGCTTCAAGCATCAAAACATGGTCTTTGAACCTCTTACAAACAGCTATGACTGCCAACTCAAAAAGATAATTAGCATCAATTGAGTGCATAGAAAAACAATAAAACAATAATCAAACACATTTAAATTTAATCCAGATTATAGAAAGAAAAATACATTTTTCAGGAGCCAAACGAATCTGGTCTGCAACGCAAGAATTGAGAAACCTGGAAAGGATCAAAACCAGTCTTCTCGCTTGCTCGTTGCTAACTGGGCCAGAAGTGCATGCCTCTCTGCCACCCACGTACATAAAAGTTTAAAAAAAAATCCCACAAAAGTAACTCATTATCTAAACCAAAGCAACATGATAATCAACATAATTATCATGTCCTTCTTTTCTTTTCACTTTAAAGGAAAAAAAAAAAAAAAAAAGAGTTCAAAATTCCATCCTTCTTAAATTTCAACAACCATAAATATCTCAAAAAAACACAAAACTATTACATTCCTACAAAACCCTAACATATCTCCCCTCATAATAATAATAATTAAACAAACTGAAACCCTAAACATATCAGAGTGCACAAATTTAAAAAAAATGTAAAAAGAACAATGCTGCTACTCACAGAATGTAAAGATAGCCGAGCGAGTGAAGAGTCGGGTCAAGTTGTTCAAGAAAAGGCAAAAGCGGAGTGGACTCATTGTGTAGCAATTCATCTGCTTGTTTCAAGTGAGTCAATAACAAACCTAAATCCCCCGCGCTGCTTGATAGCCCTTGGATTTGCGCCAGCAAAGATTCTACCGTCGCCATCTTCTCTGTCTTTTCCTTTCTTTATCGATCAATCTAAAAAAATAATTGAATTGAGAGAATTTTTTTTTTTTCCGTTCTGCTTTGGAGAGACCAGAGAGCGTTTGTTGGATTTCAAAAGGAAAGCAATCAGCAGTGTGAGTTATATGTAAAGAGACCAAAAATTTGGCGCCCGGAATTGGGCCTAATAATGTAGGCCCAATGATATGGCACCCGAAATAGGATGGATGCCTCATACATCTTTAACCCAGAGAAATATATATATATATATATATATACAATCCATAACTATGTATAAAATTACAAAATCATTGAAAATTTTTAATTGACTATTTTATTTTTAATAAAATAGTAAGATAATAATGTAATTTCAATATTTGATAAGTAAACTCAATCTGTATCTAATTAAGAAAAAGAAGTAAAATTAAAATATTATTAATTCTTAAAAAATAGAGTATTTTTTATATTGAATCCTAAAATATAAGTTAATTCCGTTTTTTTTTTATTTACACACCACATAAAATTCTAAACTAAGTTATTTAAATCACTTGTAAACTATATAGTACTATATTGATATTTTATTTTGACTATCAAAACTTTAAAAAGACTTAAAAACAATCCAATAAAATCATAAAATATTAAAATCTGAATTCAAAAAAATTCAAGTTAACTTTTTATAGGTTATTTCTTTATTAGTTTTTTTTTTAACTGTCCGACAATAGTTTTTACTCCTTTGAACAAACATTAATAACATCAAAAGAAAGGCAATATTTAATTGAAAATAATCTATAAAGTTTTTATTTATGTTTGTATTGTTAATTTACATTCCTTCACATATAATTAAAAAGAGCTATTTAAAATAGAAAATTTTTACAATAATATAATGTTAGCTGAAGATTTTTTTAGTAATTGTTATTTTAAGAGTTATATGTATTTAAAAATCAAGCATATTTATTTAATAAAAATACAAAAAATTATTTATTCATAAATAATTATAAAAAAACTTATCAAAAAATAGAAAAAAAATATTAGTAAAATACAAACATAATGGAATTGAGGTTTTTTTTTTTTTTTTTTTTTTAAGAGACCAAAAAAGAACCTTGTGGACCGAATGTATCCGAAATAGTATGATACCAAATATATAATCTTTAACCAGAGATAGAGAAAGGTATCTATATAATAATAGTAAAATAAATGTTATGAGATGCGATTTTAGGGAGATGTGTGTCTCTAATTCTCGGAGTGTATCATGATGATTGAGTTTTTTTTTTTTTTTCATGTCAAATATAATGATAATTATCTTCTTCTTCTTTTTTTCCTATTAAATGAACGAAAAATACACTATTATCAGTACAATTAATTATTATGATATTAAATAATTTAATTACTATTAATAATTATTACAATCGTTGCTAGCCATTATCTGACCATTACTAATGAGTATATTAAAAAAATTAATTATAGTTTAACAAAGTAATTGTTATTTATTCTCTACTTGTATAAGCATATACATTCTTAAACATTTGACATAAAAAGAAATAAAATATGGATATTATCAAACTTCAAAATCCAACCCATATATATATATATATATCATTTTATTTTATATTGAATAATAAATAATTTAGATAATAAATACTAAAAATCGATAAATTGAATATAGATATTCAAAATTGTAAGGAGAGCAAAACTTTGTGGGTCGGGAATTGGACCCAATAATATGGTACCCGAAAGAGTACGGATACCAAATACATCAACTTTAACCCGGAGAAAGGTACTCAGGCAGAAGAGATCCAGAGAAAAGGAGAGAGAAGGAGAAAGAAAATCTGAGGAGAGAAATGGGAGATTATCACTTTGTGTATAAGGATGTAGAAGGAGCTTCAACGCAATGGGATGATATACAGAGAAAGCTTGGAAATTTGCCAGCAAAACCACCAGCTTTCAAGCCACCACCTTTCACTCCAGCTTCTGATCAAGATTCAATCCCTAAAGACAAATCCTTTCTTGATTCCAAAACTGAAGAGGAGCTCGAAGACCTTGAAGATGATCTCGATCTCGATGAAGACCGCTTCCTCCAAGAGTACAGGTAATTTTTTCAATTCATTCTTGGATAATTAAAGAAAGAACTTGACATCTATCATCTATTTATTTTTGTTTGTGTTTGAATTTTCTTTTTGTCTAGGGTTTCAAATGATTAAACAAAAAATTGTACCCGTCGCTGAGTTGAATACGACGTTGGTGAATTTGCTGAAGTTTTTCTTTCTTGTTTTCCAATAGGAAGAAGAGGTTGGCAGAAATGAGGGAGGCTACAAAGATTGTGAGGTTTGGATCAGTGGTGCCAATTTCGGGGTCGGATTTTGTGAGGGAAGTGTCGCAGGCAGGTCCGGATGTTTGGGTTGTGGTGCTTTTGTATAAGGATGGGTATGCGGAATGTGGTGTGCTCATGAAATGTTTGGAAGAATTGGCAGTGAAATATCCAGGGACAAAGTTTGTCAAGATTGTGTCTACTGATTGTATACCGAATTATCCAGATCATAATCTTCCTACTTTGTTGGTTTATAATAATGGTGCTGTGAAAGCTAATTATGTTGGATTAAGGAGTTTTGGACGGAGATGCACACCTGAAGGTGATTTTCATGTTTGATTTTTGATATGTGGTTTTTGAGTGCTTAAGATCTGTGCTTTCTGTTGTTTGATGCTTCCTTTTCATTGTTTCAGTTTATACATTTTATTGCTTTTGTTATAACACTTGTATCCGCTAAATCTAAAAATTGTTTCATGAATGTTTTACTAACAAATTTTTCAGGCATATGTTTTTTGTGAGAATCTCCCTCGTTTATAAAAGCTTATGTGACCTAGTGATTGTAATTCTCCTTGATGTCTTATACTGGTTTGTCTAGGAATGGAAATTCTGAAAGATCGAAGGCAAACTGTTCAGCCCAAATGACCAAGTAAACCAAAATGAATGAAACATTTTTACGAGACTTGATTGACTTGGCAGTTTTTACGCAAAAAGCATTTTAAATCTATGTTATGGATGCTTTATCAATGTCATTTCTGAATATTTAATTTTTCTGAGCAACCTAGTTAGTGGCATGTTTAAGTTTTGACCTTGTTGTTCCACGCTTTGTACTAAATAGAGACATGATTGCGCAATGCATATTTCTATTTAGTCTTGGAATGATAGATTGTATCACAATGCCTGAAGTCAGGCTTGGGGAAAAACAATATATAAGGCAGAAATTGAAGTTCCTCTTTCGGTGCAAGATTCTTTTTTCTGAACCAAAAAAAATAACAATTCCTGGATGAAAGCATTGTTAGATTAAGATCCTGAGGGGGTTCTCTTGGCAGGATATGCTTGCTTACCCCTCTTCCCCTGCCCATCTTTTAAATGTCGTAGCAACAGATGACTATGCTCTTTGGACCTTTTTTTTTTTAATTTTTTATATTAGTATTGTGTACCTGTTATTCTGATACTGCCAAATTTTCTTCTTTTTCTTTCAAACTAGGTGTGGCCTTAGTTCTCTGCCAATCAGATCCTGTACTAAATGATGGTCATGGTGGAACTGATGCATCAAGAGATTCTGTGATTGAAGGAGTTCGGAGGAGGCTCATTGAGAAGGTTGTAAAGGAGCACGAAGATGACGATGATGGATCATCAAGTGATTAGGAAGGACTTTTAGCTTTTCCTTCCCCCTCCTCTTTTGTGTTTCTGTGAGGGAGAGAAAGAAAGTTGTGTTGTATGCAAGCAGATTTTACTTTTTGGATATTTGTTATTTCACACTCAAGTTTGTTGGTTTGTCCATCATCTGAAGCCAGATGTGTTTATAGTGAAAATTTTAGTTTGAAGTATTTATTACTATGTAAGAATTTTAGTTTGAAAGTAAATACTTCATTGTCAGTTCTCAATTTTCATTCATGGTTTAAGCTTAGTTAAAAATCTTAATTGTTGCTGTTTTTTCATTGGTTTCAGCCCTTTCTAGTAGAGTTTTCTTATTTATATAATCTAAAGTCATTGCCTGTCAATATTAAAGAATTGGGAGGCCTTTTATGCCAATGATTTCTGCATGGAAAGGTTAAGAAAAATCCACAGACAGTTGCATGAAACTTCTTATTGTCGTGAGGCATTTTTATGTTTTGCAGGAATTTGTGTGCTTGTATTCAAAAGCATAAATATAGACCAAGGCAAAAACTCAGAGAACTGCTATGTTAGAGCTGCTGACTTGATGCTACTTATTGTGAGGGGTGATCCTGCATTATAGAAGTCCTGCCACTCATGTATGTTAGGACTTCACTGTCACTATTTCTGTTTTAGTTTTGAGTTTTGAGTAATTAGTGGTTGAAGATCTTGTATGCAAGTGGTTCTAAGATTGTCCCTATTGGTTATGGCTATCCTCCTATTCCTCGTAACTTCAGAAATTCTCCCTGTTGTAATTATGAGGCTGCCGTGATGGTTTTGCTTGTACTGGACTACAGCCCTTGCTGCTGAAAACTTACTTCTCAGGTGGCCTTAAGGTGCTGGTTTTCTGGTTGTGTTTTGTTGAACTGATGGGTTTGTTTGAAATTTGTGGTTGTGTTTGAGGTGTTGGGTTTTTTCCAGTTGAAATTTGAAGTTTGCATCTGCTAATTGACGTCCTTTTGTTTTGAAGTATGGAATTTTTGCTGCAACAGTTCTCCTTGTTGCTGTTTTCCCCCGCCCTGATTTCTCCTGAGAGCTTTTGGAGCACTCCGTTAATGTTGTTATAATGGCTATGATCGTTATTTTACTACTACCGTAAGTTGTCTGTGACCATTTTTTCAATGGCATTTGCGGTTTAAAACCATGGTCATAGGAATTGATTTCTGAGTTTATTTGCTAGTTTTTTAAGTACTGGTGCTTTGTATGGCTATGAAATGGTCCACAAAATACCAATGTGCGACCGATCTCAACCAAAGCCTTTAACAAGGGAAAGTGTGTCATTGCAGTTATTGGAGCCTCGGTATGTGGGCACTGGGATCGCTTTGGGCAGCTTGCTTTAGTCAGTATTACTTCACTAAGTTTTCAAGGTTCACTAATAAGACACTCCTGCCCCTGGCCACGACCAACCACCACCACCAACCCACCCACCCCAAACCAAAATAACGTAAACCAAAATGATCTGTAATATCCTTTCTAACATCTAGTTCAGAATTTTCAGAATCATGAAACATCATCATGAAAAAAAAAAAAAAAGATGATTTTGCTCAGAAAATTTGAGGGCTTCCAACTGGCAAACATGTCCATTATATTCATTTCCAATTGATACACTTTTCGACAGCTCAAACCTCAAACTAAAATATGTTCACAACATCCGGAAACCTAAAAGGAAAGACAAATACCAGGCAAGAAATGCTGCCATTGCAATCAGCTCGTGATCCATGCCCACATTATGGTTGTTAGATACAAAATAAGAATGCATTGAATCCCGGAATGGAAATAAGCTCTGCCCACTTTTCACTATGTCAATTCTGCTTCAACTTCTCTCTTCTTGCCTTTTCTTTTATCATTACCACCCTGTTCCTGTTGCTCAGCCTTTTTCTGAGCTCGAATCATGGCTCTTCTAGCCCGAGGCTGCATTTCTCGTACTCTTCTGGGAGGCATCACATATGCTTCAAGAGGCCGATCACCAAAAGGGTGCTCACTGTCAGGAAAAATCCTTAGTTTCAAATCTCTATCCTGCATGCAAAAAATAAATACTGTCACAGATATTTCAAGCTAAATGCTTAACATTAAAAAAGCCAATGTCTTCTCAAACAAAAATAAAGACAATACAACTTCTAGTTACTTAAAAAATCTTGCAGCGCATACAGATACAAACATTGAAAATATGGTGACACAATATAGTTGTCTAACCAGAAAGGAAGGCCCCTAACTGCAATTTTCCAGAAATCAATGGACTGGGTGAATATCTGGGTATAAATCAACAATCAGGTCTCCATTTATTTGAAAGGGTACATGAGCAAAACATTGTCTAGAGTAACCATGTGTAACAATTTCTGAATAAAACTATGTCCGTATCCATGCTTCTCAAGTGAGATTTTTAGCAGGAAGATTGAAACTCCTCTTTTATTGGATTTTTTTTTCTTTCTACTACGTGCCAAATTGCCTATAATAACTTTTCTAGAGGAAAACAGAAGTGACAACAGTCTCTTAATCATCTTATGTAACTGCATTTCAGAACCGCAAAAGAGAACCATCAACTACATTCAAATCAAGTGCGACAAATGCTAACCTTACTAAAACAAGTATCCCTATAGATGCACTTGGGTGGGGGATGTGTGAATGAAGGAAGAAGGAAATTAGTGAGAATCAAACATTTAAAGAAGAAAAAGATGCCAAAAAACATAAAAAAGTAATGTTTAGAACGAATATAATGGCCGGTATAGAACGCACATCACGCAATTTGTTTCTTGGAAGCATGCGCAGAACAGCTTTTCGGATGACTTCTGTAGGGTCCTTGGCCATCTGGTCTTTTAAACTCCTTTCCTTGAGGTGGCCTATATACCTACAGAAAACAAAACAATCAATCAACACAGGCCTTCAATACAAGAATAACATAAGCTGAGTGGCAATGGGAGACTACATATCTGAAATTGAATTTGGTCCCTTTCTCTAAATATCAAAATTGGAAAACAAAACTATCTTATTTTCATTGACATTTAAAGACATGGTTGAAGACTTCATATTCCTCTTCAATATGTTTACTCATCTTCGATACCAAGGAGATTTAATTACGACAATTAAGAGATAGTGCCCAACTATTAAGTAGGGCCTTCAATACAAGAATAGCATAAGCTGAGTGGCAATGGGAGACTGCATATCTGAAATTGAATTTGGTCCCTTTCTCTAAATATCAAAATTGGAAAACAAAACTATCTTATTTTCATTGACATTTAAAGACATGGTTGAAGACTTCATATTCCTCTTCAATATGTTTACTCATCTTCGATACCAAGGAGATTTAATTACGACAATTAAGAGATAGTGCCCAACTATTAAGTAGACCACCATCAGATCAATTATTTTCTTATGTTATTTTACATTGCATAAAACTTTGGTTTTTAGAGTGTGAAAACCAGAAAAGATGATAGTTGATCCCTTATCCTTTTGATGTCCCACATTCCACATTAACTTGGAAGTCAGAGATAGAAAATTTTTATGATACTTGCCCTGTATGCCAGCGATAAAACTTATCCGTCATTTTTTTCCCCGTAACATGGACATCCTTTGCATTAAGCACAATGCACATATCACCATCATCACGATAAGGAGCATAAGTTGGCTTATCCTTGCCTTGAATGACTGTTGATATTTGAGATGCTAATCTTCCAAGAACCTATAAGAAAGCGGGTGCTGTCACATTTTCAAACTTATAGAACTATAAAAAGAAAGGCAGTATAAACCAGTTCAAATCAAGATAATGTATCTTCAAGAAAAAATATCAGTAGACCATCTCGTTCACTAAATCCTACATCTCCCCCTTGCCAAGCTTGTTTCACACACAGCTAACTGATGGGCTCTGGCTTTTATTTCCCAAATGAGGATAGGAAAACAGAAAAGTACCATCATTGAAATTCAATTATTATCTTATTTCCCCATAAAAGTTGGCTAATATGGAAAACATACTCTAGCATAATAAATCTATAATATCTTGGAACAACATAATAACAAATATCCCACCTGGCCTTTGGCATCAAACACTCTCCATCGCAGACCATCCAGATTAATACGTTTGAGGCCAGCAAGTGCTTTCTGTAAGTACACATGCAAAACAATGGTTTCTGTTATTAATTCCAATGCCAACTATCGAGTCATAAACCACAGGTACAAATGTTAAACACATGCATTGTCATCCACACTAAAAGTGCATCATAAAGAATCCATCAAGCATGTATATGAAGTAAATGTTCCACTCCTTTATGTTTTATTAGAGAATCTTTTATTTGTTGTTCAAATTTTAAATTTTGGTTTTTTCTTAACAAAATGCGTTTGGGGCTTAGAAATTCAGTTTTTTTCCCCCTTTCATTGAATGTTTTGGCTTTTGTTTGAACAAATCATGGGCCAGTTGCTGCAGGTCAAGAACCCTGCCTCCTAATGGAGGTAAGAGGAGGAAAAGCCACACCAAGGTTTTCATGCAAAGAGCTGAGCAAGCGCCCAACAATACTATATTTCACGACTATAGTCACAAGTGTAAAGCCCCAACTTTACACATCTTAAGGCATTTCTGCGTCCACTATGGTCAGATGTTAGGGACGTGAAGCGCACATCACAGTACTAAAATACTTTGGCGCTGGGTTATATACTTGGGGTCACAATCCTCAATAAGGAGTGGTCGCAATACTCGGCTATACTAGAGCCGCTTGATGTGATCACTGTAAAGATGGTTCAGAGGTGGTGAGTGTAGTTCTGGTAATAACAAGTGGTCAAAGTAATCCCATAAAAAAACACTGAACAAGAAATTAAAAAAAAAAGACCTCATAAAAAACCAGAAAATCTAACTTTCATAAACTGAATTCAATGATCAAGTCTGTAGGCCATTCTTTAAAAAAAAAAAAAAAAAAGAGGGTCTGTAGGCAATGCAACTCTGAAGACACTAGACACAGAAAACATGCGCGGGCTGCAAAATATATACATAAAATCGTAACAACAAATAAAATTAGAGGAATTTTAAACCCATACAGTACATTTTACGAACACTTGGAGTGCTGAAATGTAAAGTTTAAATTCTCCCCGAGCTTGAACCTGAGTTCTCCATAGAAAATGAAAAATGGAATATAAAGATAAAAGGATCACTAAAGATCAAAACGAAGTACCTTCATGTTGCCATTAAAAGCGCTAGATGCAGCTTGGCTTGCCATTCTTCTTCTTCTTCTTCTTCTTCTTTTGCTATATAAGTAAACGATTTCTCGTTTCTCACCCACAAATCATTCGCCTGTGCCAATACCAAAAGAAAATAGTACATAATTTAGCAAATTACGCAATGGAAACAAAAAATTGAAAATAAAACCAAAAAACCAAAAACGGGGTTTAAGACGGAAACCTTGAAGACGAGTAGGGTTTGTTTGGAGAAAGAAGAAAGAAGCTCGCTTGGCTATCAAGCAGGGCAAAATGGTTTCGGGCTTCAGCTTGGGCTCTGTTTTTGAAATAAGTAAGGGCCTCTTACGCTTACAAAATGCCCAAGTTTAGCACTGTCTTATACTAACGTTTAATGTTATTTCAAACACCCCCGTTCCTCGGCCAATGGTTTCGAAATATCTTTACTGTTTTTTTTTTTAATCGTATTTTTTTACTAAATTTTTTATCAATAACATCTCTCAATGTTAATTTTGTGTCTTAATTTTGTTTTTTCATCTAAATTTTTATGTAACGACATCAAATCTTGACGAAAAGAGAACAAGATGTTGACATATGACATCTTTTTTATGTTTGATTTTCGAAAGAGTAAACAAATTTTTGAAATAAAAAGTTCAAACCCCCAAAATATTCCATAGTAAAAAACCCGTAAAAACATAAGAAACCTGAATGTCCCTTATATAAAAACCTCAAAATCCTCGACTCATACAAAAATATGCTCTAAATAAACTTAATTTATTTTCTCTCTTCGGTTATCATCGATCGATCGAAGAAACATTGATCTCACACTAATCTTCTTCTTTTCTTTTTTTCCATGAAGCATCTACTCAAATTCTTTCTTCCTTCTCATCAATCATTTTTTCGTCTCTTCTTTTCTTCTCGTCACCTTACTTCTTTTCTCTTCATTTTCTCTAACACTCTTCACCATTACCATTGTTGAATATATATGAACTCAAAATACTCGTTCATCTCTTCTCATATTTGATTTGTACCTTGAGTTGCGATGTAATCAAGTAATATTGTGTTTTTTAATTTTGTTTATGTCGGTGATTCCTCCACACTCGTGATTTTGCAACAATTTGTTTTATTTTAATTTATATAATTTATTTATGTCGATTGCCATTGCCACTGTTGTTTTGAAATGCACCAAGACAACGAATTCTCCAAGTTTGTCCAACGAGTCAAGAACTAAAAGAATTATTCCAATATGTGCTTGCAACACTCCAAAACCGGAGTATGATTATGAAATGGGTTCTCTATTTTTTAAGTGTGGAGAACCGGTTCTAAGATAGACATCGTGGAGTGATCTTCGTCTAACTATTAAGTTTTTATGTTGTCTAATTTGTGCTTGCAAGTAATTAGATGAAGGATGTTGGATGTAATTTCTATAAAGAGTGTGAACTATTTATATTGGGTAGAGCAAGAGATGTGACTTCAAGCATGAGGAAAGACAAAACAATTGTTTGCTTAAAATAGATAGTTGATGAGAAAAAAATGAGAGATTTGAAAGTGAAACTGCAAAAATAAAAAGTTGATAATCGAGAATTGAAGATGAATTAGTATTCGTGAAGAAACATCTATTTATTGAAATTGCAACACTTAGAGCCGAGAAGAATTATATGTTGGAAGAGGTTGATGTTTCAAGCAAAAAATTTAAAAACTACAAAGATACTTATGAGAAAGTTGTTTTTTATATACAAATTAAGAATTCGTTATGCCTAATGTTTATTATTATTTTGTTGATATGTGACTAACTAGGATGGTAGGGATAGTTATTCAAAATTTATCTTAAATTTTTGTTGTAAACAACCTTTGAAATGGATAATAAAGCTTTCTATTCTTAGGCATATGCAACTTTCTATTATTGGTTATATCACGCTTTATGTTGTATAAGAGATTATAAAGACTCATGCTTGCTTTTACAACATATGCATGAGGTATTATAAATGAATATCAAGCATCATTACCTTTTGAACTATAGGTTAACCAAATTAAAAATAAAACATTGCCATTAAGAATAATCTGTAGATGGTGATAAAAAATGAAAGGACTGATAGATAACAAGAAAATTAACATAACATCATCCTCATCCAAACATGTTTAAGATTATCAATAAAACTAAATGATAACAAATTATGATGTCTAACTTGTCTACAAAATACTATAACCATTCATAAATCTCATCTAAACAACAAAACAACGAAATAAACACCAACATCTTTAACTTCATAAAGACCAACATGCAAATAGAAATGCGAGATGATAAAGACCAAACATCTTCGACTTTATAAAGACCAACATCTTTAGCTCCATAGAGGCTAACATAAAAAATAAAAAAAATCAAGGGCCTTCTCATATTACATAAATTCCATCAATTATTTTTCAACCTATATGGAAAAGAAATGACTTTCTTACTAGTATTTCTAGGTTGGAAAAAAAAAAAACCAAATTAGTCTATTTTTTAGTGCATGTCTAGTAAGAAAAAGAAAATAAGACCAAAAACTTACATTTTATATAGAAAAACCAATTTCATCCTTAACATAAAAGCCATGTCCAATAACTTTCTTCCTAGAACCCCTTTCTCTACATTTGACGGATCTTAAACCTTTGTTTGAACTGAATTGGTGATTGAGAATCTATTTTTTGAACTAAATTAAAGCCCAATATAGTTTTCCTTCCCCTTCCTATAACTTTGATAGATCTTGAGTCCATGTCTCCAACTAAAGTTGTTGATTAGAATCTATTTTTTAGCCGACTCAAAGCCCAATCTAGTTCTTCTCTCCCTTTCTATACCTCGACAAATTTTGAAACCCTAGCTCTAATTGAAGTTGGTGATTGGGATTCAATTTCTTAAACCGATTCGGAGATGAATCTAATTCTTCTATTCCTTCATCTACCCTTGATAGATCTTGAACCCTTTACCTTTTTATTTAGCTTTCTTTTTCTTAATTTGTATTTTTCCTATCTCGAATAACAACATAACTCTTTTTAATATTATTCTGGATAATAACTAAGTTTTTTTTAGTGTTATTAATCATGAATGAGCAATCTTGATTGATGTTTCTGTACCATTTTGTTCACATTGACTATTATTGTTTCTTTCACTAACCTTCTGTTTACCCCGGCATTAGAAATCAATAAATAGTTAGCAACCAACAAACTTTTTTTTCAATTGACCTTTTAGAAAACATCCACCAACACCGATAATATTTCGACATCCTTCTAAAAATCCTTTTTTCATTACTCTAAACACAAACGTACATCCTTCTAAACTTATTAGTATTTAGATCGGATTCCATAATGACAAGTCTTGCCTTTGTTACTTTGTCCGAGTTTTTCAACATAATTTTCAAGTTATGCAAATTCCACCTTTATATCTCCACATAATAACTTGATAATCCTATTCCTTGTAAAATTAGTTTGAGTTAATGAGATCTCCAACCCAAATTCTACATGAGCTTACGCTATAATTTCTCTTAAAGTCATCTTTAAATACAATCTATTATGTTTTTTTATTAACTCATCGGCTAATATCTTTATAATTAAAATATCCGCCTCCGAATCTAACTTCACATATGTGGTGTGACTCATAAGCCTTCACCACCTAACTTGATATCTTATTATGCAAAGAACGCAAGCAAGTCCAATTAAAATTCTCATCCTTGTATTCAGCTCTATTCCTAACACGATCGGCTTTTACAAACTTCACATCTTTTTTATGCTTCATTGAATGCTTTATAATAGCTTGTCTAAACTATTTTTTATTAAAAAACACCATACTTATATAGAAGTGAGGGACTTTATTCTTAGCATCATACATAACAGTTTTTGCTATCATTCTTTTACCATGTTCCGCTTTCAAATTATCATTTTTTGTTAATAAATAGGTCACTCTTTCATTAGAATCATGCACATTTTCTCTCTCTTATCTTTCAACATCTACCTCAATATAATTATCCTCATCGAGCCCCTTCATATTTTCCTCGGTATTCCCCTCAATATTTTCTTCACCAACCTCATCTATATTTTCATTTGTATCCCCCTCCATATTATCATCTATATTATAATTTGCATTATCATTTAATTCCCATCGACTTCATTCCCTTTCATATATATTTTCAACTTCATTCCCCTCTACAAATGCCTTGACCTTTGTAGAATCATATTTTGCATTTTTAATATAACTCCTTGCATGCCGCACCTTTTCATTATTAATATCACTTAACCAACCATGTTAAAAATAAATATCTTATTCACCTCCTACTCAATTCTCTTCAACGTCGTTTTCATTTTTCCGATCATAATTTTGCCTCTCTATTGTCTCTTCCTCTAGTTACTCATGTTTTTCATCATAATTCTACCTCTTCGCTATCCCTTTCTATATTTACTCATTATTCTTTTTTATTACTCTCTAAACATTTTAACTTCATCATCCGTAACACCATCATTTTCAACCACACCATTACTTGAACTTCTACTAGTAAAAATTACACTATAACCAAATCTACCATTCACATCAATACCAAGCTTCTCACATATAACCTTCAAATTCTTCACATTAAAATATGGTTTTTCTTTGTCACCATATTCATATTACACATCAACACATTTCATATTCATTACTAGGTCAATTATAGGATATACATTATTATCATCATATATTAACCCAAGGTATTTGATTAAATTATTACCGAGTTTTAAATCTTTATAATACACATATGTTATGCTCATATACACTTATGTCTTCACTAGCTCTAGTAAACTAAAAAATACAAACCATCCTCATCAACATTCATATCAACCATAATACCCCATTCGTATGTCATAGTTAAACTCGTACTTTTAAATGCTCTATGTAATTTTTCCCTAATATGAAGCATTAACTTAGCCATCTAAAGGGACCATTATAGAGGGACAATGACAAAGTAAAAATACAAAAAAATACAAAAAATTCATAATATGAATATATTTAAAGTAAAAGGAGATGAGAAACCGGATGATCAAT